CATGGAGAGGGACCCTGCAAGGAGGGTGTGCAGCACACCAGGCCCTGGGGCAGAGGCCAGGCGGTCACTGTGCCCGCATGGTGTCACTTGAGGGGCAGCAAGGCAGGAGAGGAGCCACCCTGCACCAGGTGCATGGAGGACATCCCCGCCTGCTTGCCAAAGGCCTCTGAGTGGGACAAGGAACCTGTCAGGGCCACAGGCTGTTTGCTGGGAGGGCAAGGGGCAGCGTGCAGGCTGTGGTACCAGGCAGGTGGAACAAGGGGCAGGTGGCCCGAGTGCAGGCCTCATCTACAATAGGTGATGGGGACATAGCAGAGGAAGATGGGAACATGTGGAAATGGTGGGCTGTGGTCCAGTAATCCATCTCCTTGCAAATTATCAACAGGCAGAAAGCCATTGGTTAGATTCCCCTTAACTATTGCCATCACGTTACCTTGGCCCAGTGCACCAAGCTCCTTTCTGAATAAACCAAGCCTCAACGCTGACAACCATCAGCCCCTAAAGCAAGCAAACTGACCCCAGCTTCCTAATTGTCTCCCCTCCCCCCCCCCCCCCCCAATAAATAAGAGAAAGCCAACAAACCTTTTCAACAAAAGCTCTGAATTATTCCCTTTTCCTTTAGCAACCACCTACAGCACACGCAGAAGGCTGGTGGCTGCATTGCAGACACCATCTGTTCCAGCACAACAGCAACTCACCCACCTCTACCCACTCGCCAGAGCCAGAATTTAACACTGCACGCTGCGCACACAGGGGAGGCACATGTGTTGCGAGCAATGGAGAACAAACTAGGTTAAGGAAGGGATGGCCACTGCTAGCAGAGGGGATGCTGAGTGGGCTACACTTAAATTCATCCCGGGAGAAGCGAATATTTCACTTGCTTGTAAGCTGTTTTGTCCCAAAGCGGCGCCCCCAAAGCTGTTGCTTCCTTACTACCAACTATAGCCAGTAATACAACCATTTTTAATATGAGCCTTCTCCAGAGCAGAACCCCACCTGACATTTTTCTACAAACAGGACAACCCACAGAACAAGTAAAGCAGTCTGGGAGCTGGTATCATCCCTGGCATTGCCCCCAGCACGTGCAGAGGACCAGAATTTAGCCTGCAAGTTCAGATCCCTGATCTGATAGCTTTGCTGTGAGCAACTGTCCCTGTACCTAGCCTTACCCCTTTGGAGAATGGATATAAATAACTACATCTCACACTATGGCAAATCAAACTTTGCTTGGCAACAAGATATTCACAGTACTTTATTCATTGGGGGTTATGAGAAATGTGTTTTCCTTTGCAAAATTTCAGCTATTACTACTATTTTTTTTTCTCTCTCATTTTTGCATAAACAAGCAATACAAAAAAAAAAAAAAAAAAAAAAAGCTAGCAAGATCCTTGTACTAGAAAATAAACCTCTAATTTTTCTGTACAAACTTTTAAAGAATCAGCACAGTTTCACCAAGGTCCTGTTTCCATTAAACAATAGGATCACAGCAGGAGCAAATTTTTGTGCAGGGTTTCAAGTCTCTTTCCAGAAAGTGCTCTGCACTATGTGGGCTTCCTCTCAAGGCATTGGCACAATGCCTTACTTCAGTTTCTATGACTTTCTTATTTCTTTCTGTGCTTGGATAACCCAGGCTCCAAACAATACCATTCCCTGTTTGCACTTGGATGCTTCAGAAACCCTCTCAGTTCACATGGCTCAGCTTCTTCTCTTAATATGTCTGCTGAAATGATTTGGGGGATTGTTTCTATTACTGAGCCATGATGGAGGAAGTGTACATTTACTTGCTTTCTTATTTAGCCTAGGAGAAGGATATTGTATTCCTGCTTCATTACATCCCATTGTCTGGTTGATTGTGCACATATACACCGTTTTGTCTCTGCTCTGAGCCAATCTGAAAGCCCTTTGGAACTGGGACTGCACTTGATAGTTATTTGCACAGCATCAAGCACCCTAATTGTATCAGATAAACTCAAATAATAGCTGGTTTGATTAACAACACAAGACATGGTATGTAAGTCAGTTTAAGTATAGGCTGAATGCAATTATGGCTACGTAGAGTATTTTATTTTCCCTACTCTTTGCCATCTAAACTCCCTCAAATTCCAGGAAATTCACTTAAATAAGTGAAGCCTTAGAAAAGTCCTCAATCTAAATAACCTTGTTGCAATGATATTGACAACAACAAACCTTATCACAGATGGCAAAAAACAAACAAACAAACAAACAAAAGAAAACAAAAAACAAGTAATATTCAGTGTTAATTGGACAAGTAAATTTCTACATGCATTACAGGAATCTGCAAAAGCAAACACTATGCATATAAATAATAAAAACAGGTGATATACAGATTTTTTTTTCAGTATATCAGATCAAGTTTTTACTTTACTACAAAGATTACAGTGGCATGGAAGCCAGCACTCATCATTAATACATGAACTTATATTACCTGCACTGCCACCTTGGTTATAGACTCCTCCCTTTTGGATTCTTGTGTTTGAAAATTTGAAGGGAATGTTTGCCTGCTCTGCCCTATTTGGAGTTACCTTCATTATTCATTTATATACTCTTTTACACATATATACACACATGCATATATGTATATACACGTGTTTATACACCCCCCCACTACATACTTGATAGAGAACGAGAGAGCATTTGAAAGTAATGCAATTTCAGTGAGTCTTTAAGGCTCCTCTTGCAATAGAAGTTGCTAAGATGGGTTTCTTGGTTACATGGCTCACACAGCTCAGGAGCTCTGTTTTCTTGTTGGTTTGACCAGGCTGGTTTTAAGTACTTAGTGCTACTTCTGTCAGGTCAAGTAACAGGATAGTAACATGACATGCATCGGGCTGTGACAGAACAGGTGGCTTTACAGGAGAGAGGAAACCTTTCCACTCCAAAGGGGACTCAGACCAGCTCTAGCACTTCTACCACAGGAAATTTAGCTAATTGCCTGCCTTCCTTCAAGTAAAAATCTAAAGAGAACAGGAAGAAGAGGAAGAAGCTCCTTGTAAATTGTCAGCCACTTGCTGCTTCAGAAGGTCCAATCAAACTCTGGTCCTGTAGCATGTAGCATCCTTCTGTGGTCCTTGTGTGTAGCATCTGGGCTCTGTTCAGTCCTAACTTGCCTTGAGCTGGCGGTTCTGTTTCTCCCTCAGTTCCTGCTTCAATCTTCAAAATTAGCCCCACAACTTCCTGGTACAAGGAAGAGCTCTTGGAGAAGCTGCATGCCCAAGACAGCCAGAGACTCCTGCCTATCCTCTGGTATCTCATGAAATGCAGGCAGTGCTACAGATGTAGCAGAGATACAATACTAGAGGAAATTCAGTGAGGACAAAAATGACACTTTATTCAAAATGCAAATGCCCTCAGCAATGAGATTTCTGAGGAACACTTAAGCAAATAGAGTGGATTCTCTTGTAATAGCAATACTTAAACTAATAAATATTGCAGCAGCACAGGTGAAAATAATACAGATATGACTTCCTGAACAGAAAATAACATTGCGTCTGGTCAGGATATGAGTAGCTTCAAAAACAAAATACACTTTAATTTTTGGCATGTAACCAGAAGGCTGGAGTCACTACATCCTCTTGGGCTAATTACTATACTTAAGTCATCCCGCTTTGAAACTGACAGTGTATGGCAACTTGAAATCTGTATAAATGAACGTAAATCCAAAGAGCTACACTACGTTTATGTTAATGCTTCTGAACATGCATGATCCGAGCTACCCAGGTTAGAGCTGAGGATCCACATACTCAGACAAGATATTGCTTTGTAGTTTGCAAGGAGCAACAGTTCAATAGTTAGTTTTAAATGAGAACAATCTAAAAGCTCAGGGCAAGCCTTGACAATACAACCCTGGGTTTGGAGTCAAGTATACAAGCAAGTGAAGCATGCATACACCTACTTCTGCCTTAAATATCCTCCAAATGGCTCTTCCATGTTCTATCCTGCTAACATGTTGTGAAGACACTGCTACTTCTTTCTGTAAGCTGTTTCATGGGGATTTTCAGCAAAACCTCCAACTTGGTACAGTTTGCCATGCACCTGTAAGAAATTCCAACCTTATGGCCCAGCCGCCCACATGGCTTGTTTTGGCCTTCTGCTTTCTCTCACAAAGATTTCATTGAATTTGTAGCTTCATCAGGATGCACAGCAATCATTCTGAAGGATTATTGGTCCAAAGCTTAAAAAGACTAATTAGTAGGCAGAGCCATCTCTTCTCAATAGCAAAAAAGTGCTTACTAACAGCTACTCCAGTTCTTAACCAAACCCCAAACATTTAAAGGTCAATGCTCTACCCATCTAGTAGCGTTGGGTTCATTCTTCAGTGTATTTTCTGGTTTGAAACCTATAAATTATATTTCACATACACACGCAAAGGAAAATAATTCAAGGACGGCTTCACTAGTCTCTGCTTCACTGTGAAAACATGACAAGAAGCCCAGAGTAACAGCGGGTATAGGACATACGGCTACTCAGATGACTCTGGGAGTACTGTGATGGATGGGAAATCCCATCTGCACATTTTATAGGCAGCAGCAAACAAAAAGTGAAATAAAATCTACTTTCAAACAATTGTGTATGTGGCCATATATGTCATGAGTACAAAGGCTTATTGGTTTAATTAATCAAGATAATTCTCTTTAAAAAAAAAATGTTGAAAGGGGAATAGCCCTACAAATTTTAGGCTTTCTGGTTGCTTTACTTCTCCAGCAAGCTCTTTATAAAAAAAAAAATCACACTCTTTATTGAGCAGACACTTCCCATACCAGCTTGCTTGCTTTGATAAAATTCAAGATACAGCCATGTGTTGTTTTTAAAAGGCATTTAAAAAGTAACTTTTTCATACAACTCAATGATTTCATCAATAAAGCCACAGTAAAGCCATATAGACAAAAATGCTTTATTTCACCATTAGCCTTTAACCAATAAGCATAAAATGGTGGCTGTAATAGTTTTGTTCATAAGAGATCCAAACCCCAAGAAAACTATACTGGAAACATTAACCAATACTTTATTCCTATAAAAATAATAATAAAAAAGATACATTCATTTCAGGAGGTGTCTACATCTTTACCAATAAATTAGGCTTTGCGATATCAACATTAATTTACATTTTAAATGATTTTAAAGAAAAGCACAGCTTGGGATACAAAATAAACTCTTTCCTTACCTTCCAAATACATCAGATACATTATTTTATTCCTTTAATGCACTGGCACCTAAGATCTCAGAAGAAGAAAGTAAAGAGTGGTACAGAAACATCCACTGACCAAAACAAAACAAAACAAAAAAAAACTAACATCTGTATCACTGAATGACTATTACCTTTCAAGGCTTTTCTACATCTCTGATGAAAAACATTAACTGAGCACATGAAAATATGAACTTATTGACTAGAATAGCGGGATCTTGTACAAAGCTTGCCAAGAATACTTCAGCTTTCCCAAATTTTATGTAATTTCATAAAGTACTATTAAGCGCATTTCCCTCTCCATTGCAACAAAGGTCAGTTTTAAACAATACATCATTTGTTGTTATGAATGCCCAACAACTTCAGGCCTTGATAGGACTGTCCCTTTTATTTATCGTACATCTCTCTGTTAAGGTTATACAATGAAGTGTGAAAACCTAAATAAATTATGTTTAGTACTCGCCGCGCAGCTCTCTGGAATATAAGCATCGGTACTTGACATTTATTTTGCAAGATCTGGATTTGAAATATATTTACATTTGAGCACATATACCAATTCCCCACCCAATTTCTACATACACTCACTTAATTTCTATTAAAAAAATTAAGAAAAAAACAGTTATACCAGGTTTTTATTCATATATCCTAAGCTCTGAATTAGACAGGCACTGATGAAGAATAACTCAACAGCTACCATCAATCAGCTTGCCTTTTTTGTTTTTGTGTGTTTTGTACAGAATTGAATAAATAGCCCTACTTCACTTTTTTACTGATTTTTTTTTTTTTTTTGAAAAAAAACACACAAAAACAAACAAACAAAAACACACATCTACTTTAGTTTAACACAAGATGACCTCCTGATGTCTGGAGAGCAAGCTCCAAAGACTTCCTATCAAGAAACAGTCATTCTACAGAAGGCTGATAGGAATATGATGACAGACTGGCTTCAGTTGGCAATTGATGTTGGTAATGGCTTTAATTGATCTAGCACAACATGTTTGCTCTTTGCAACCTCACTAGTTACCCAGCCTCATTTAAGTTCCATATGCGATCACAGAAAAAGACACTAAATGAAAGCAGTCAAGATCATTTTTAGAAGGGAAAGATTTCAATTTTGCTTAATATTATTTAAAAACAGCAGTATGTGAGGAAAATATTCACCTTATAATTCCTTTTTGGGTCAGTTTGACAAAAATGAAATCCCAACAGTAGGGCTTTTTGCTAAACAAATTGTTCCAAGAGAAACGATGCAATTAGTCCAGAGAAAAGGATTCCACAAAGGGGACAAAATTGCACTTCCCATCCTTACTGTAGCTGTTTAAAACATTTTCTTCCATTTAAAAAAAATAAATAAATACAGATCTTATCTGCCTTGAACAAGACGTTCCCTACGGTTTTACAGTTGTGAGAAACTTGAAGGTGTCTGATAAGGTAAAACAATGACAACTCAAGAAATTACATCATGAAAGCCAAGAAAGTAACTGAGAAACTAACTGTAAACTGAAGTGTTTCAATAAAGGCAATGCTTTAATATTTTAAATACAAATTTCACCGAAGACTCAAAAACTGCAGCTAAGCTCAGAAGAGCATGCCACCTAAGACTCTTACCCAAGTAGCCTACAACAAAATCAGAGAGGTCTAAAGAGGTACATCCTGCTTCTCCTTCCTGAAGTTGCCTCTCAGAGTGAACTTGAAATTATTTAAAAGACAATAGCTACCAGTGTCTTAACTATATCCCAAACTAGACAGTGTCAGCAGTCTACAGAATTTGTTTTTTTCCATTACATTCATGGTCCTCAACCATTGCTCATTACCAATATTCAAACCAGAGCACTATTGTGACAGGGTTAGTCTGAGATGAAAAATGGTGAAGTCCATGGAAAATCACATGCTAGTCATTCTCTTGCATTACAAGATTTTTTTCCTCCCTCTTAAGGCAAGTTATAGTGATTGAGGATACTGTTGTTTGAAGATTGTACAGCTACTGAAAAACTGAAACATTAAATATTTTAAAGTACACTAAAACTAACCCATATTTCATTAAATTGCTATATTTAAACTGTTAATATAATGCTATTGTTAAAATAGACAGTAATCTGAGATGGCTTAACACTATCAGTGTCAGAACTTAAATGCATGAGAATCCATTTAATCAAAACATTATGCTTTATATAATGAATTAATCATTCACTTGGCTTTCAACTGCCTTTGAACAATGTGCTTCATGACACAACTTTACCTTCTGTATAGTTTCAATTCATAAATGCTTTTAACCAAGTAGACTAATTGCAGGTTACCAGCTGAAGCACAAACACTTCCCAGCGTGTACTCTGGAAAAGCTTTATATGAATGAATAAAATAAATTTGCACCTAAATGTTACATTTAAGGATACGACAATAAAACTGTTTTCAGTGAAGTAACAATGCTTAAATTTTAATTGATCAGAAATGAACCACGCCATGTCTATTTTCAACCAGTGGACCATTTATGCATTCAGTCTGACACCTAAGAACATTATCTACAAGGAGAATCTTGTCTTGTAAAACGGTATTATGCTTGTAATAAAGCAAATGCACAATTCATTACATGTTTCAGAGCTACAGTTCTTTAGATAGATTTATTTATTTTAAACCAAGTATTGCATAGTAGAAAAGAAGGGAAGAAAATAAAACCATCTGTTAAAGAAAGAAAAAGTGTGTGCATTAAAAGGTATTGCTGGACTCCTAGGTATATTTTGACTGCATATAACTTAGTACCAACATCTAAAGAGAAGATTATAGTGAGCAAACCCCTGGATTAAAAAGCTTTTTTTTATTTTTTATTTTTTATTTTTATTTTTTGGTGCAAAATACCACTATTCAAGGTTTGGTTGTATTTTAATGATTTGTATTTTACACATCCTGTTACACAAAGGGCGTTCATGGTTTATGGCTCTATTTTTTCTCCTTTTCAATAAAGATCTCTCCCTTCCACCTCTATCTCAGAAGTGCTCCCTTTTAATATTTTTGAAGACACAGTGAATAAGCATCTTAGTTATTTCTGTATCAAATATAAAGCCACCTAATCAAAAATTGTTTAATTCAGAGGGATTCTTGTTAGTGTATTTCACAGTGGTGAAAATCTCAAAGGTTCTCCCTCCTCATCCTCCACCATGGTAGAAATTTTATATGCTGATCATCATGCTCACACAAGCACAGGCAAAAAAAAAAAAAGGGGGGAGGGGTTAAAAAGTTTAGGAAGATTATATAGAATCTTGACTTCACAGCATTTTCTGCTATTTGTCGATTGCCTGGCACAGTTAAATGTTTTGTGTGTTAGCAGTTAAAACTCTTACAAGAAAAATCAAGGAACTCTTTGAGTTTTTAATTTTCTAATTATTTCAGAAACAAAAGCCAGCAGTTAAGATGATGTTTTCATAATTATCCTTAGGTTGCAAGATCAAATCTAAGGCATACATCGTTCAGTGCAAAGTCATCACACAGTACAGAGAGAACATAAAAACCCCTTCATTCTCCCATAAGGACCCTACAGGTACATGTGCAAAATCCAGCAAGACTGAAATAAAGATGGACACAATGCACAAGATAATTGTGTAGTTAATATTTGCTCTGTGGTTTTACAAAAAAAATAATAATCAAATAATATAGAGATTACCATTTTTATAGCTTTAAGCGGAGTATCAGTGGCCAGAAATTTCAAGTTATTAAAATCCAAGTAAGAGTTCAAGAATGCTATTACTGAAACCATCTAACTTTACCAGAACAAGAGCAGCAGTTGTCATAATATGACCATTATCAAATAAAAACACACACGCTAATGCAAGTCAAAACTATACCATGTATCTTGAGGCTGGAGTTACATACTGAAGAAATTTACCAAGTTTTGGTAAAATACATATTCAACATGAAGAAACATAAATAGTGATAGGAATATGTCATTAACCCTGAACACAAGCGGTAAGTAATTAATTACTTCTATGAAAGAAACAAATGTCACAGAGATGCTCTAAATATTTTCTTACTATTTATTCTCTTGCCTTTTTTTCCTGTGCCTTTTTTAACTTCTTGACAAACTATTAATTACAAGTCACGCCACCTGCAAGCAACAACTCTGAGATCTGGTCACAACACAACTTCAGAAGATGTTTTAACAGAAAGGCACATACGTTACAACAAAAGAGAGCTTTTTTTTAAACAAACAAACAAACAAACAAACAAAAAAAACTAGCCAGCAAGCACAGGTTCTTCAGTGGCCACTACTCACGTTGTCTCACTCCTCAGTGTTCTCCCAAACAATTGCAGACAGCTTGTACTTGTACAACAAATTTTCAGAGGCATTTTTCAAAAAAAGCTTCCCAAGAAAAATGTGCATATCCAGAAGTATTCCACGTTTGATGCCACAGATGCATTGAGTGACCTGATGCAGTTTAGCAAGTGAAGAGTGAACCAGAGTTAGTCTCTTGCCTTCTAATCTGTGCCCAATCAAGTAGCAATTTAAAAACCCAGTGCACTATAAAAACTTTAGCAAAGGTAAAATCTGGAATGCAATATGTAAGAACGAACACAAATTTATTGACACTTTAACCTACAAAGCCAAGACGATTTCTGTGTTTCCAATGACCCTGTGAGTACCAACTAAAAAACTCTCTTTTGATCAATAAATAGTAGCCAGGTATCTTCTTTTCTCAACTTATAACTAAAGTAACCTGGAAGAAAAGACTAGGCCAACAGAAGACCAGGGTTAGCAATTTAGCACATACTACATTCACTTTTCAGTCATCCTGGGGGGGGGGAAAGAAAAAAAACAAAAAAACAACAAACACAACCTTCTGGTAACATGGAAGATGCATATTGTACAGCTGTGGCAGTTTCTAGAATGAAACTCCAGATATATGACAATATCCATAATACAAACCATAGTTTTAAAATATATCTGAAAGTTTGTGTATGTGTAATATATATACCTCTAAAAAGAAAATTGTCTAATTTTCCCTTCTATATACATATAAACATCTGGCTAATATGCCTCAAATGTTTCCTTATTTAGGACTAATCTTTTAAATAATATAGTTTTAAACAGTCCCTTAGAATTTACTTTTTTAACACCATTCAGAAATGAAGAACTACCTCAGGGTAATCAAAAAGCACACACAAAATAAATTAACATCATACAAATGTGGTTATATTGTTCAGAAAGTCCAATTTTCCCATTTGAAATGAAATGGAGACCAGTGTACCTTAGGGTGAATTATTTAGCAATGTACAAACTCGTTCTCTCTATGTCAATCTTTGTGTGAATTTAGCTGCATTTCCATAAAGCAAGAAACACAGTAAATCCACAGAACTCTTGCAACAGAGAATTGTGTTTCACTGGATAGGAGTACAGTTTTTGCTGAAGGGCAGCAAGTCAATGTTTTATCACCACCTGAACACTAGCAACACCCGTGCCCTTGTAAGCTTCACACCTTGAATTAGCAGCAACATATTTGATGGGTTCAGTAGTAATTTTTCTTCCAGTATTGGATTAGACTACTTTGCATATACAGCAAGTCAAAAGTCTAGTACTTGTGTGCAACATTAATCCACATTTACATCTGAGAACTCATAATACACATGGAAACAAAGGTGAAATAAAACCTCATTTTAGGTTAAAATGTTTTCAGTCCACATACGGAAACAGCAATGAAAAACAAGTGTCAAGGAGGACAGCAGAAACAGAAAGAAAAGAAATACAATAGCTAACACTAAGAAGTAGGTCACTGTTGAAAGGATAAACTGCAAGTTAAAAATGATCAAGAAAAGATGCAGACTGTACCACCTGTATAAACGCAGCATCATTTTGCACGTTACAAACAGTGATACAACATATTATAACAGCTGGCATACTAGTAGATTTATGGAAACTGAATACCTAATTTATCCAGCTCTTAACGGACAGTAGTTATGCATTAGCCTTTGAAGATTTTCAGCCTTTTGAAGTTAAGGTTACATTCTCATAAATATTTAGTGTCCCAATAAGAACACTACAAATTCACCTTCAATGAACTTCCATACAATACAAAGATACTAAATACCTTCTTAAACTGAATAATTTCAATACTAGTAGTTTTCCTTTTGTATTTTCAAAAGAAACCCAAGGACCTTTGTAACTTCCAAAGAAAGGGGTGTTTTAAGGCAGTGAAAGATAAGATATGTATTAAGGTTTCCATGATTGTTTATGGTGCCTATGTAAATAAAGCATATTACACACAATTGCTCTCATTTATCTACACGATTTCTTTATACTGTACACGATATAGCAATTTTCTTGAGAAATTTAAAGTGCCACTGTTCAAATGTGCTCATCTGTCTTCCCATGGGCTTCTAGTCCATTCTAGTTGCTTTGAGAAACAAGCCTCTGCTTTACTTAAAAAGCAGTCTTTTTTAGGGGAAAATAGTTTCATCCTTCACTGCTGTGCTAACTGGAATCCAGTGGTCGAATCAAACCTTCTTTGTAAACACGAAGAATAGCTTCACAAACAAATTTGTACTGACTCTGTAAAAGAAAAAAACATTTTTGGTGGATTAGTTAGAACTCCTGATTATACAGTTATTATTTAATACTGCTAACAGTCTCATTGCTTCATTTTCTCCTGGACAATGTCAGGAGAGGAGGTACAAAGACAGAAGGAGAAAATCCAGCTCCCCTGGTTGCATTCACAGGACACAAAGGGAACGTTTACTTATTTCAATGAGAAGCATTACAAGTCTCACACTAAGGAAAACCCAACATCCAAATTTAAAAGAACATCCTTAAATCCCAGAGAATACAATTTATTTGTAAAAGCTATGTAAATCTGTAAATTTTCATGTTTGTTTTGAATTTAGTCCAACTAGATACTTAGGCCTTTTATAAATCTCACCTAAATATTTTTGTATTGTTACCTGGTAATTACTCTAATCTTGCCAATCTTGCTGTTAGGTATTACTGGACACATTTCAGTTACATAACCAAAAATGCATTTAGAGTTATCACATAGGATATATTGATAGAGTCCATAATACCTTACTAAATTAAAAAATTTTTTTTTTTGACTACACAATTGCAGAAGGTAGAGTTGCTCAATTTAAATTTTTTAAGCAGGCCACACATCATCTTCTGCCATAGCAGAAAGTGATCAAAACCTTTGGAATGAGTATTTTCTGAAGAGCAGCAGCCACATTAATTTTTTTGTCCCTCAACATGTTGAGCTCATTTAGTTTTTATAAGGTATTCACAGATTAGATGTTTGCTTTCTGAATTTATTATATATATAATGTTAATATTATATATATATAATATATGTAATATATATATATATTACATATATTATATATGTAATATATAATATTACAATGCCTCCCAGCTGCCTTTTTACATCAGTTCTCATCAACTCTCCAGAAGGATCTGGAAACATTCCCCCAGTATCTCCCACAGGACAGGACTAAAGCACTATGCTCACACTGTGAAGGACCTCACGTTGCATTTCAATACCAGTAGTTATGAACTTTATTCTTGTCCATACATGTCCAATACATTTTCTCTTAAGCACAGAAAAGCTTAAGGAAAAGTTGGGGATAGAAATTCATTATCTGCATCTCAAGTTTCTTGCCTTTTCTTTCAACTCTTCAGTCAATTACTCCCACCTCCAATATCACTTTGTTCTTTTGTCTTTATTTCTTAATTACCTTGACTTTTCTCTTATTTTCATTTGCATATTTTTACTGCCTGAACAAGTCAACTGTGATATTTAGCGCTGTTCACTACTTCTGTTAACTTCTTTGTATGATCAAGTTGTTGAACCAATATGAATGAACACTTCAGCATTGCTTCCTCTGACTCAGGCTCTGACTACTTGTTTTCTTTGCTGTTATCTGTTGCCTGTATTCCTACCTTTCAGTTGGTAACTAGTTCTTATGTATGTCCTAAAAGCGCTACTTTCTACCTTGTTTAATATATCTGATTTCTCTTTAATGGAATATAGTGCTTTTTTTTTCTTCCCCCAAATGGAAGGCCATATAGCTATACAATTTTTATTGTAGCATTATTATACTGATTGAAGCTTTTGTCTTCCTGTTTCTGATAACCAAATTACAGATCTTTGAGAAACTACAGCTTTTGTATGATTAACAGCAGACACTAAACTGATCTGTTAATAGCTCTGCCAAGTCCATTCTTACTGAGTATGCCCTGATCGTAACTCACGACATGCATCTGGCTATGTGTATCATCTTCGCAGAGCTGGAGTACATGTACAGTCTCTAATGTGCTCCTGAACATGCTTCAGGCCAGACTGCTAGAACTGGGCAACCCCCCTGGATCAGGTCCCTTCCAACCTTAAACATTCTGTGATTTTGGGATTCCCCTGTTCAAGTGGAAACCAAAGCTCTCTCTTTTTTTTCTTTTCTTTAAAGAAAAAAAGATTTAACTGCTGACTTTGTTGGTCTAGACCACTTTACTTTGATTTGCTGTAGGGCATTTAGCTCTTTCAGATAACGCATACTTAATATTCTGTTATTCAACTTCTATACAAGGAAGTGGAACCTCCCATCCCTTGTCTCTAACATCAAGAAATTCATTTTCATAGCTAGCAAAATTGTCCTCGTAATCTCAAATTGTTATCAAACCATCTCCATCTTAAGAAAAAACAAAACACTCTTATTTTCATATTTCAGTTATTGATATTACCTAGCTTTTCCTCAATTTCATTCTTGCCCTTTGTTTCTCCTAAACTAGAGTAGCAGCACAATTGAAAAAGATGCATATGTTGTTCCTATCAAATTCTACTCCCTCTACAAATTGTAGCACAAACCCTTTAATTTTACCTTCAGTTTAACAATGACCTATGAGGCTTTGTACAAAGAATGAAAACCAATAAATTATTTTAGCTTTTTGCATAGAATTTAGATGAAATAATATAAACACATGATCTGGGTAGGTGACTTTCTGTATTTGAACTACTTGCAAGGTATAAAAATTAATCGCCTTTTAACTGCAAGGTAAGAAATATTTATAAACAGTTAAATACACACCTAACAAGTAAAGCTGCCTTTTTCATTGTGCTAAGATATGTTAAATGTAGGAAGCATGAACTATAATGGCAACTGAAGACTCACAGAACTAGGTCATTTAACACCTCGCATCTCTTTTAAAACCGAACAAGTGCAATATACAGAAAATGAGGCTTCCTTCTCTATCTCCATCACTTACTGATGTTTGCACCATCATAGCTCGCTGGTCTCGCATTTTTCGTACAATATCCAGTGGATAAACAGGTTGGTTTCTTTCAATTAAGCACATGGCTGTTTCCATAGTGACCAGTACACCCGTGCGACCGATTCCTGCACTGTGAAATGTAATAGAAAAATCGTCTATAAAATTAAGATTTTGCAATACATCATATTCTTATCACAATGTTATGATGCTAAATAGCCTTACAAATTACAGAAAGACCTTTATATGACTAGAACAGTGCACAAAGCCTATCTTTAAAGAAACTTCAGTAATATTTCTTGCCAATGATTACTAAGAAAATAGTTTTTGTATAAAAAATTTTTAAGCCCAAACAAAGTAAACGATTTTTTAACAGTTATAACTGCTAATAATCTACATATACTGATTTTATATTTTTGACTAAAAAGGCAAGAGCTAAATGACTGCTTTTTGACAGGTTCTTTATTCACAGAAAAACTTTTCAGTACCATTCACGATGAGTTTACAGGCTTGGTGGAGGATGAAAATGGAGAACAACTTGCATTACAGATTATCAGCTCTGTGATACTTACGTAACTAAGCAGTTTCACCAAAAAATTGTAGGAGAAAGGAAGAGAAAAAAAAACACCCTGTTCACCTTGTTTTGATATTGCATAGTCTTAGCATTTTCAACTAATTCAAGCTATCTGCTGCCTTTCAGACACTTTTCAAAGTAAATGCTTGTTCAAAGGCTGAACCAAATCTGTAGTCAGAATTTTAAAACACAAATACCTGCAGTGAACGAGGACTGGCTCATTCTCCACTCTCTTTGGTCTCATACAGGTCACAAACTCCAAGAAGTCCATGGAGTCATCAGGAACACCATGATCAGGCCAAGCAACGTACTGGAGATGAGTGACATTGTGCTGCTGTTCTGTCTGAAATATAGTAAGGTTTTCAAAAAGTGTTCAATGTTACAACTCCTGTATTGACAGACACAATTTATACTTTTCACGGTGAGCATATTCTGCAAATGTTGTGAGATGTAGGACATTGAAAATGTTTGTTGTTTTATAGTTCAGAGTAAAGCATAAACATGTAATTCTTTACATACAAAAGACTAACATTTGCTAAATTAATGAGGTACCAAATTTAATTTCTGTTATCTAAACAGATTTTCAATTTCTTAATTTATTGACTCTTGACCAATTATACCTTGACACCAACAGTTCACCTGAGGTACAATGCTACAAGACTTACTCATAACAGTATCATGCAAGAGTTTAGAACAGAATGAAAAATAGAAAAAAAAAAAGCAGCTGAGAACAGAAGAAGCATCCAGAACAACAGCAGGGTAGTGGGGCTGCCCAATCACAGCTCAACAGCATGGTTTTGTTTTTACATTTCACAAAAAAAGGGGCAGTATGTCCTGTAGTACATACAATATTTAGGAATGCCGTGCTGGCATACCAGTTCTGTGCTGTAAGACTCACATCACTTGTTCATCACCTGCAGTCTATTAGGTTCTCTCCCAAGAAATAACTGAATGCCATTTTATCTCATTCTGCAATCCAATTCAATTTCTCAAAGTGCAGCTGTGTATCTATTGTAAATATACGTGTGTTAACATATTCAATCACAATGCAAACTTTTCTGCAACATTTGCTCACTGTGGTTTGTTAGAAAACAACATATATATAATTTATTATATATAGAGATATATGTATGTGTGTTCATTGTAAACATAGGATTTCTGTTCCACCACAGAAGAACCTTTTTCTTTACAAACACAACTTCATTACTTGAAAGATTCTGCTATATGAAGAGCTTTTTTTTTTGTTCTTTTTTTTTTTTTTCATTCAGTTATACCTAAAAACAGTTTTATAGAAGTTCTTTCGATTTAAATCTTTGTTAACTTTGACTAGGAAACCACTCAATCACCTTTGCATCCAGACTGGGCCCCACTGCTATACTACAAATATAACTAATGATTAGAGTGAAGAAAAAACAAAACCAAAGAAAGAGCTCTGCTGCATTATACAATAAGGATCTCTCTCTTCACAAACTGAAACAAGCCTTGACATTGTCCCTTTATTTCTTCCACTTGTTTAGCAATGGTTAAACTGTTCGCTGTGTTTTACTAATCTCAATAGTCAAACTTAGCATTTGGCACTGTACTGAAATAAAACCCTCCTTTATCACTGCCTTAGTCTATAAAAGCTGACCTCTCACTAATGGTCCATGCAAGAATGCTTTCATAATGCTAGTGACTTCAAGAGTTTTTTTTGTTGCTGTTACTGTTTTGTCCTTAAGCTAACCATTACTGAAATATATGTCCTGTTTTAAATGACTTTGATTTCTGCTTTCGTCTTCCATTAGGGGAAGTGGTTCCACTCCCAGGGAACAGGCCAGTAAAACACACAAGTGACAGAATACCTACTGCTTATGTACCAAGCAGAGTGCTAGGAAATGGGTTTATTCCAGGCAAGGTAATTACAGAAATTTACCAAAAAGGCATTTTACAAGCTCAGAAAAGAGAAAAGAGTTAACTATTAATTTTTGCTTGTTAGTAATCTAGGCCTGAATATATTGAGTTGACTTTTTTTTTTTTTTAACAGTAGTTTATAGACAACAAGTACTACAAGCACGTTGCATAAGATCTCTTCAGAGTAAGAATACACACACAGAATCACACAGAATTTCTAGGTTGGAAGAGACCTCAAGATCATCGAGTCCAACCTCTAACCTAACACTAACAGTCCCCACTAAACCATATCCCTAAGTTCTACATCTAAACGTCTTTTGAAGACTTCCAGGGATGGTGACTCCACCACCTCCCTGGGCAGCTCGTTCCAGTGCCTAACAACCCTTTCAGTAAAGAAATTCTTCCTAACATCTAACCTAAAACTCCCCTGGCGTAACTTTAGCCCATTCCCCCTCGTCCTGTCACCAGGCACATGGGAGAACAGGCCAACCCCCACCTCGCTACAGCCTTCTTTAATGTACTTATACAGAGCAATAAGGTCACCCCTGAGCCTCCTCTTCTCTAGGCTGAACAAGCCCAGCTCCTTCAGCCGCTCCTCATAGGACTTGCTCTCCAGGCCCCTCACCAGCTTCGTCGCCCTTCTTTGGACCCGCTCAAGCACCTCGATGTCCTTCTTGTAGCGAGGGGCCCAAAACTGAACACAGTACTCGAGGTGCGGCCTCACCAGAGCCGAGTACAGGGGGACGATCACCTCCCTAGCCCTGCTGGTCACAGTGTTTCTGATACAAGCCAGGATGCCGTTGGCCTTCTTGGCCACCTGAGCACACTGCTGGCTCATATTCAGCCGACTGTCCACCATCACTCCCAGGTCCTTCTCAGCCTGGCAGCTCTCCAACCATTCCTCTCCCAGCCTGTAGTTCTGCTTGGGGTTATTGCGCCCCAGGTGCAGGACCCGGCACTTGGCCTTGTTGAACTTCATACAGTTGACCTCAGCCCATCGGTGCAGCCTATCCAGATCCTCCTGCAGAGCCTTCCTACCCTCGAGCAGATCGACACACGCACCTAGCTTGGTGTCATCTGCAAACTTACTGAGGGTGCACTCAGTGCCGTCATCCAGATCATTGATGAAGATGCTGCACAAAGTCCTGCCAAGTGCCTTGCTCCCTCAGGGTATCAGTAGCCCTTCGTGGGGTGTGACCCTGATTAGGGACATGGTTTAGTGGGTGATGTTGGTGGTAGGGGGATGGTTGGACCAGATGATCTTGGAGGTCTTTTCCAACCTTAATAATTCTATGATTCTATGATTCTATGTTAAAGAGGGCCGGCCCCATTACATTGTAAGAGCATGCTGTTAGTCCTCAAAACAGCTTCTTCTGGTGTGATCATCTTCCATTTTCTGCTACATGCCCTATTCATTCCTAGAGACCAATGTACTTGTCTATTAGTTACTCCAGGTATTCCTCAAGTTTCAATGTAGCTTTTTAGTTATTCGCGTTTTTATATAATCAGGTTGTTATTCTTTTGGTTGTGCTGTTCTGAGATGATACACACTGTTAAAACTTAATTGCCATATCATTTGCTTTTCAAAATGCCAAAGTATTTTAAAGTGCTTCAATTTTTATTAGTAAGTTAAAGCTGTTGTAAACAGTATGCATATTCATGTTAGAACTAATTGTTTTTGAACTCTAATCAATGTCTCATTCAGAAAATACAAAACTATTACTGTGAAATCTAGAATTCTAGTTATGTTTATTTTTTTTATTCTTTAAGTCTTTACACTCATAGTGAAAATCATCTTTTGAATTGAGAAAAATCAGTCAGCCAAATAGTGACAACTCTTGAAACTGCATGCAAGAAGACCACAGTTATTAAAATCTAGTGCATTATTCCTACCAGACCCTGTTTCTTTGTACAAAATTGGTAAGGAAAAATTAAGTGGTACCTCCTTATTACACTCGGGTTGTTTATCAAACCATTATTGTCTGCAAGTCAACTTAAATCCTTACCACAGATACATTTTTTTCCACTAAGATTTTCAGTGACAATTGCTATAGTAGCATCCTGATTACTGATAAATGAAAATTTTCTCTTTATAAAATTTGGCTTTATTAGTCCTTTTTTACAAGTCTAAACACACATATATTTAGCTGCATCAGGGCTTGTTACTCCCTCTTTCCCCCCATTTACTTAGCAAGCAGCTTCAGAGGTCTAGGACATCATATCTGTGTCCCATGGTATTTGTTATTTTCCTTCTGCTCATGATTATTATCCCTGCAGCAAAAATGCTGGCCGAAAAAGAGACGTACTTGCATTTGCTATTTCTGTGCAAGTTCAAGACATCTAATTGCATACACAGCTTCACTGTGGTTAAGCTAACATCCTGGATTTTGCTCAAAAACAGTCAGGGTAAAGAGCCATGATTTTTTCTAATAAGTCTACCACTGGGATTGCAACTCCTGTCAAAGTATAGGGTTGGCAGTGGTAATCTCTCAAATAGCTGCTGTACCACTTAGGAGACAATCTGTCAAAACTTTTAGCAACAAAAATATCCATCCTTCATCTTTTGGTAGTCTGTTCCTTGCTTCTTATAATTACACCATAAAGCTGGCTTCCTCATTTCATTCTGCTAAAATGACTCTCCCTGACAAATAAAAAATCAGGTGTTCTTCAGGAAAAGAGCACACACAGCTAAGAATTATAATACTCATATTGAAGGAAGGAAATCTAGGTTCAAGCAGTCAACATTAATTTTGACTTTTGTTAAAGTCCAAGCAATTGAGTTAACATTTTATTTTATTTTTTCCCCTTTAGGTTATAATTTAATCTTCAGTTAAAAAAAAAAAATCAGGTATTTTACTACATTTACCTTAAAATGGTCCTATTATCTAAGGACCTATTTTCTAAGCAAGAAAAAGCTATGCTCTTTGCTAATGGGCTTCACAAATATCTTGAAAGCTGAAACTCAACGATCAGGCTTAAGGCTTAGTTTCAGTTCCTGTCTCATTATGCCTCTTGACACCCCTGCTATAAAACTTTTAACCTACTCTTGTTCTTCAAATCTTTACCATTCAAAACCAACTTATTTTCTTCTACCATGAGTATTTGACAGAAAAGAATACACCCGGACCAGACACTTCATATTTGAAGTACCTCTGCAGTGCAGCAGGTTTGTTCAAGACAGTTGTGACACTGTCAAATTTATACAGATTTCATTGGAACGAAAATACAAGGTCTTGTTTAATGTGTGGATAGGTTGTTTCGCTGAAACTTTTGCAAGAATCTGTAACATGAACAAACCTAAACTTTCCCTCAAATTGCCATATGACATGCAATGCCTAAGCCTAAACAATTAAGATCTCTAAAAAATTACAAAAAATCTATTTTCAGCTGTTTACAGCAGAAAGTGTTGCTTATCTACGTTATCTGTTTCACCTAATATGAATTTAATGCAATCACTAGAAAGCCTGCATGCTGGTCATTCATAAATAGAAAGATACCACTTGTTCTTTGCCTTGCAATTTTACCTTCTTTCAGCAAACAGCAATATCCTTCCTTAGCAAAGTGAATTTATGCCTAATTTTCAATTTCTTTGAATTGCTACTTCAATTTATTTCCTTTTCCTTCAAACCACCTTCTCCATCATTGTGATGCCAATGGAAAGTGATAGCTTTTAAATTAAACAGAAGCTTTTCTCCCCAAATCCCTCTATTTGCATTGTCATCGTCTGCGCAATCACGTTAAGCAGTCCATATTATGACACAAGGAATTGTCTTAATTAATCATCTTGACTCGGGTTGTCAGTGCTCTCCTGTGGTGCTCACTCGTTATTATGGCAGTGGTGTAATTGGTCTTTAAAGGATTAAATTAAATCCATTTTTTAACATTGAATTCTTTTCTTTTCGGTTGAATGATTTATTTGAGTTAATAAAACAAATCAGGTGGGAGAATGACAGGGCACTTTGGAAATAACTAACAAGATGTGGCAGAATAATAATAAAAAAAAACCTGCAACATTTCTTCTTATTTCAAGCTCTTTGAATAATATGCTTCAGCAAGCATTGTCTTCATGGCCTTGTTAGGTTTCACAGCTGGGTTCTAGTTAAACTTAACTGAAATCAGGAAAAATGCTTGTTTAAAGGCAGAGGAAACCAGAAAAAAATGCTCAAAATATAACTGTCTACAATTGAAGAGGTTGGTATGCTGTAAGGCAATTATCTTCGAGGAAACTGAATGAAAGATTTCCTCAGGCTTCTCATTCTATTTTATTTTTTTTTTTTTTGAATGATTAAAAGTAACCTATTATCTTGTTTTACAAAATAGTGTGCTGTGTGATGAATTTAGCACTTGCACTACACAATTTCTCTCCTTGGGGAATCAGAACAAATGGACCAAAAATGTTTTGAAGTTGCTTTTTTTTTTTTAAAAAAAGAAAAAATTAAAAAATAAAATAAAATTTAAAAACAACGTAGTTCTTTATATACTTTCTCTTTCTTTTACTATAAGATAGATTTCAATCTTGGTCTGGAAAACAGAAGGGCCAGAAATTAAACCATATTTAATATCACAAGGCTTAGAAAAGCTCCAAGTACTTCATAGATCTGCAGTCACTTGCTGATCTTCAATTACAGGTGAAGAAGCACCAAGATAAACTGTGTCAGAAAAGTCCTAGGAAGTTTCTTGTTCCTCAAGTCTTCCAAACAAATGTGAACAAAAGGCCAAGGGCATCATTTCATAAACTTCTCTTTTTAGCTATTTTCCCTTAAGGCAAATTAGAAACCTGTGCAACTTAATCCACAGGAAACTCTTTCACAAATATGCCTTTCCAACAGGAAGCAAGTCTCTTGTGAGGTTTGAAGCTTTATCCATCTTACTACTAAAAGCTACTTCATAAAGACCAATCCAATGATGCTCACATTAACTCAGGGACTAATAAAACCCTGATTTGAATTCAGATGACTTTTTATGTATTTTTCAAAGAATCCAACAACAATATTTGTGACAGAGAGCACATATAAAGCTTTGCAAATTCTGCTTTTAAGCAGAAGATGCTCCCAGGAGAATATGTTTGATCAGCTTTAAAAAGGCAGCTCAAATGTCAAATGGTATGTAAAACAAGGAGATACTTCAAGATACTTCAGTGTTTCAAAGAGTTTCTTTCACTAGATTTTGAAATAAAAGTCTTTGTACATTGCTCATCTGAAATACTGAACTCACACAAGGCTTCCACTTATTAGAGTCCTGTTTTTACTGCATTGGGTAGCTGGATGATGAGTGCTTGAGTGTGGCCACTCCATTTAACCGTATAAGCAAACTTGCCCTTAGTGGAAAAAGGGATTTAAAAACAGAATGCAATCAAAACAATCTCCTCTACAACAACAACAACAAAAAAAATGCATCCACCTAGGCCTAGCTCTTCAGAGCTATTAGAAGAATTTAGAATAATTTTTAAAATCATACCATTTTGTCTCATGAAAATAAACTCTGAGCAAGCATATGCCTTTGCATTAGAAATGATGCTCTCAACCGATAGCTTCCATGGGACAACTTTGAGTATGAAGTCCTTGTACTATCAAATCTGTTAGTATATCTGAAAAAGCACACTAAGCTCTTACATTGCCTTTATCTCAAAAAAAAAACTTTTATGAAAAAAATTCAACAGGATTTTTACATACCAGATACTAGTAACAACACACTAGAAATGCAAACACATACTGAATACTAGTGAATTTACTCAAAATTGTTAAAACAGTGATGAACACTGGCCAGGAAGAAGCATTGGAGGGGAGAAGCATTACCTAACCAAATTTAATTTGCAATCCATTAATTTGAATGACAGTGAATAGAAGTTTGCCTATTGCTCCTTGACTGGATGGTTTCTCATAACTAGAAACTGAGACAGTGTAAACAATCCTAACTGAAAGATCTTTGAATAGTGTAAGCACTAGTATCTCGCATAGTTAGGACTACAACAGAAATCAGAATCACATTAAGATGAATCTATGCGCACTGTCAAGATTCAATTGATTCAGTTACAAATTTATGAGACTACAGGACTGGTGATCTTGCTGTAAGAATGCCAATAAAACATTGCACTTTAAAACCTTTTTTTTGTTTGTTTGTTAATACTAGCAATTCTGGTAACACTAAAGCACAATCACACAGAAGATCGACTAGTACTAAAAATGTAGATTAGTATTTGGTCAGTTCAGTGATTTCTTATACAAGTATCTTATGATAGCATAAACCATTCATCTTTTTAGAAAATATTTGTGACCACAGAATTCTGGAAAAGAGATAGAGGGAAATATGTAAGAATGCAAGAGAACTTATGAACAAAAGCCAAACTTCAGACCCTATATTCAGGTTGTGGGAGATATAGATGTGATCCGAACATGAACTTTACAACATACATACATAGGTCATATGTAAGAAATACTCCATGTATTTCACTTCTGCTTTGCTTTATAACCCTCTCATTAGCAAAAACCATTACAAGCTAAGGAGTTTTAAACTGTGACGGAAGATAATAAAAAGGAGATTGTAAAACTCTATGTCTTCTCTAAAATTCACATCATTTGGATTTGCTTAGTTACTAGCTATTGTAGCCACATGTGCTATTAGCCAAGTGCCCCTTATTTCAACCTTGAAAGAGCATGGTTACTTAGAGAAAAATCTCATTGAAAATCTAAATATTTGTGAAGAGTCAGTGACTGCAACAATGTTTACAGCGAAGCACCAAACTTCTTTATGAAGCTCATCACGGTACCTGTACAGCATAATGGATTAACATATTACGAGACCATGTAACCCTTCAAAAAGTATGTTTTCAGGAAGCTCTATAGAAATAACCGTACGATGTTGATTCATTTTATGTATACACATATCTTTTATGAAATGTATATATTTCACACAGATGAGTATACACATACTCCCAGTCTATATCTACCTATCTACATAGGTATTCATTCAGCTTGCTTGGACGTAATTTAAGACAGCAGGCACTTACCTCAACATTTGTAACTACCATTTCTCTAATAACATATGCAATTGTACAATCTTCAGAGTGGCATTTGACACGAAAGCTGCCATATTCCATTACATCTGGTGGATCAGGCCAATACTGATGACATTTCGTCTGTAAAGACAAAAGGAAAATTAAGTACATGTCAAGTACTTCCGTTTCTAAACTTCCCACCTATGCTGTGTTTTACAGAATTCAAGGAGCAACTTTTCTGGTTTGTTGGTGAAGTGTTTACATCCAAATTGGAAACTAACGTGACAGGCTAAACTCTCTATAAACTTATGGCTTTAGACATTTATAATAATAATTAAAAAAAGGATATAAGATAAAAGCTTTCTGTCTTGTATTGAACAGCCATCTCCGAAAATAATTTCTCAAAGAATAAGTTAGGAGGAGAAACATGGACTTGTTCCATCTTAAGATGGGAAGCCTGTGTGTGTATGTGTGTGTTGGGAGGGGTGTGGTGTGTGTGTGGAGGATTTATTGGTATCTTCAGCTACCAAATAGCAGGTTGTGGTGAAGACAGACGTTCCCAGAAGTGTGTAATGCAAGGTCAATAGATGACTGAATAAAGGTGCAAAAAGGAAAATTCTGATTAGATGTTGGCAAAAAAAATAAAAAATGGTGAGAATGGTGAAGCACAAAAACAAGCTGCTCTAAGAGGCTGTGGAATCTCCATCCTCTGAAATAATCAAAACTTAACTAACATGACCTTGTGCAATCTCATGGATTTCAGAGTTACCTCTTTTAAGCAGATAGGTGGAACAGTATCTCCAGAGATACCTTCAGGACTGCATTTAGTTTAAGGGCATAAAAAATGAAGTATTTATTGTTTAATGCCTAACAAAAGTCATCAACATTATGTTGATGTGAGAAGAAGCCCTGCAAAACATTTTTTATTAAGTCAGGGAAATTTGCTTTTCAAATATGAGTTGGGCTTCAAACATTTGAGTGCTACTTCAAGATTTCATATAAACAATAATATTTTGCCAAAATGATAAACAATGCACTGTTACATATAAAGGTCAGATTTAAAGATATGTGAAAATTGAAATATTCCCTGAAAACAAAACCAGTGTCCAGGATCAGAATCATTAATGCAATTAACTTTAGTGGGTGCTCATGTGCATGGAAGTAATTACAGGGAAGTCTTCCAACTCCAAGAAGCGTTGAGAAAGTAAATGTACTGGTAAATGGGATAGGTATACCAGCTAGTGCAGATAGTGAGAGTGTGGCAGTCTGAAGTTCTGGGATTCACTGGTGATTTAGGGTTTTTGTTTCACTGTTCTGTCATAAAAAGGCTTTAACACCCTCTTTTAATCAACTGTAAAGTCCTGATCATGAGGGTAGCAGAGAAAAAAATTAATACATTTCAGTGGTTTTCCTCCTTCCCCCCCCCCCTTTTTTTTTTTAAAGGGGATGGCAATTTTTCTTTTGTATGAGAAAGACAAGATAAAAGTTGAAGGGAAAGTTTTATCTATAAATCTCACAAGGTGCTATATATTTCCTTTACATTCATCTTCAGATGACACCTGCTTGGGCATTCATCAAATCCCACTTCATTTACAAGAACATCCATCTACTGGCCTTGAAAAATGCAATCTTGACCCTCTAGTGTCATTAAAAAAGTGCCACTGCCTAGCTAACTAGCTTAGTCTACCACTTCAAACACATATTCTCTCTTTAGGCATATCTCATTTTCTCTACCTCTTATCTTCTCTTCTGCAGTATACTACACTATCACCGTTTTCCTCTGTTCTCTTTCATTCAGAATCAAAACCTTGACAGTATCTAAGACCCTAAGACTACTAAGACTACTGCCAGTCATACTGACAAACTACCATCATTTGTTCTTTCCAAAGTTAGAGGTACAGGCTTAGCTCCTCTTTCCCCTGACCCAATTTTTCCATAGATGATTCTTAAGAAGATTCAGTTTTTGTAGGATGTCAGTATGAGCAGTCAGAGCAGTCTAGTCCTTCTCCCACTTTCTTTAGGATTTACACTTCAAAACTGATAAGCATATCAGTTTCTGGCATATACTGCTTACTGCTCTATTCAAATGGTTTGATTTGAAAAGCAGGGCAAAGTTCGATGAGCACATTTCTAATTTACATTCCATCACAAACACTGAATGAGTATCAGAGCTCTGTAGTGCAGAACAGTGCAGTTGAAGACTTGATCAGACTGGTATAAAGTTTTACAAAGTGGTTATAGGATTTCAATTACAGAGAGATAAACGCTACCAAATACTATGCCAACAAAAAAAGTGCAAGAAAAAAAAAAAAAGGAATATGCTAGTCCAGGTTTTCCCTCAGCACGACACACCAGGATAGCCCTAAAAGAAATAAACTGCTTAAAGCACTCTGTAAAATGTTTTATTCCTGCTCTGTGTTGAATGTTTTTCCAGTCAGCTGCATGGAACTTCACTGAGCAGGTAGATGCAGATCATGTACAAGCAGGTGGGAATGCTGTGGATCTAGTTTCCACTTCAGTTAAAGCTGTGGCTTTCTATTTTTCAGGTCTGTGCAGAGAATATATTGCTTTTGAAGTGCATAAGGGAATCTGATTAAGATTCCCTGGAAGATACCGAGCAGCTTTAAAATCATATTCAGCTTCATCACAGTGGTTCCTAACTGGTAAAGCGTGCCTTAAACACATTAGAAGCTAGGCTGCATAGGGCAAACGTGGTCTGTGAGACTTAGGAGCTGCATGCAGTTACACACACATCTATCTATACAAAGTTAGCCACAACCAAACAAGCTTGTTAATTCAGTTTTAGCAGTGGAAATGGTTGGGACACTGCATGAAAGGTCAAAAATCTGTACTTGTTTTCATCAAAGAAGGGAAAGGGAGGAGAAGGTCTAGGTCATACGGTTAGAGAAAGAGGAAGAGTTGAGCTGAACTCACTGAAACAGAGCACTGACAATTTTCTTGTCTACACAAAAGGTCATGAAGTGCTAAGTCCAGCTCTTCTGGATGGTTTTACCACAGAATAAACTAAAAATTGAAAATGTGTATGAACCAGTTATTAAAAGTAGACACCTTCAGGAAAGGCAAAACAACCCCTTGCAAGTCTTCCAGGTTTGATGTGACTCAAAAGAAGAAAATTAAAGTATTTATTTCCCCAAAATGCAGTCTACAACTATATGCCTACTTCCACAACTTAAAGATCTATATATAAAAATTTGTTTTGAAACTTTAAAAGCTGCTATATGAAAATGAAGTACGAGACCAAGCTGTAAATCACTTAGTGAAGAAAATCTTAACAGACCTTGCTTTTCGTGTGAATGTAAGTAAAGTCTCAGTATGGATATACAATCAATAGAGAATGTATGCCACTGCAAGAGACATGAAAAAATGGAGAGGATCCAGCCGAGGGCCACCTAGATCAGGAAAGGATTGGGTAACTTAACATATGAAGAAAGGTTATAGAAACTGGACTTGTTCAGTCTAGAGAATAAAATCCAGAGGGATTTAAGCAGGTATTCAATATCTAAAAGGTAGTTATACAAAAAGCTGTGCTGTCTTCACAAGGATGTGCAGTGACAGGTCAATAAACAACAGGCAGAGGTTGCTTCAGGGGGAAATCCTTCCAGGATACAAGAATAAAATTATTCACTATTAAGAACAATTAACCTTGGAATATGTGAAACAACAATTAAACAATGGCACTTCCTAGGTCCAAACAAGTGATGGCATATCCATTCCTGGGAGTGTTTAAGACTTGCCTCAGCAGAGCCCTAAATAACTGAATCTAATGCTTTCCTTTCAACAAAAGGACATGACAGACTCTTCCATGACCACGATCATCTACACAAACTGCATTACCAAATCAATGATGATCAATGCTCACCAAGGTCACTGTTCAGAAAACTATACAGATTTCAGTTTATACCAGTGGGACCCAGTTAAACTTTCAATAAGGCTGTTTAACCTTAAAGCGAGATCATACTGGACTGCATAAATGGCTTATTACAAATATTAATTATAATAACTTACATACATCATAAACATTAAATAGTAATTAGATGAACTACTAGTGTTGTAAGAACACTGTTTCTATAGTTAACAGTAGGTAGGAAACTTCAGCAGAGCCCAACTACATTGTGCTAGCGAGAAAAAGCAAGCAGAAGTGCAAACCAGTCTGTTCCCCCCCCTCTTACAATACTGCAGTCCCATGGCTGAAGGCAAGAGCAAGGCATGCTCTGTTTCTGGGGACCCTAAGAGATAACTCAGTCTGCACAGGAAGAGCAAGCAGGAAAAAGAATAACAGCACTCTGTCACTCCTTAACATGCACTCCTCCAGAAGTACAGCATGCCTGGTACTTATCCAGCTGCATCCTTAAGAACGGTTTCCTGTCCCCTACCCCTGAAAGAAAGTGATGAAGGAAATGAAACAACCCTAGGTAAAGACAACTTCCTCAGCTCAGGTTAATACCTCTTTCATGCCACTAAGAGCTATGCACAACTTCAGTTTTTGACAGCAAGTCACTGAATGGGAAAAAAGTCTTTTCCATTTGACAACATTTTGTGTTTTAACGTGAAAATATTTTTAACACACAATGATGCTTATAAACACTTGCAGCAAGAATACTTTACAGAAAGTTACTGTAGGGACAATAGTATGCAGTAACTGGGTGACATAATGAAAGATGCTCTTCACATTTTTCTAGGGCAAACTGAGCAAAGAAACGAGAAGAACTGATGAACAACTTCAGTTCTTCTGAGTGTCATTTGTGGAAGATAAGCAACATGAGCTTTTTTTTTTTTTAAATGTCAGATGTAAGACTGAAGACAGATCTCTTAAAGAACTAACTTTGTCAAAATGCTGGAGTTATAAACATAGGCCCAGAAACATACTCACTGATGCAGGGAAGTGTAATCTACCCTCTGCTTCACACTCATTTCATACACTCTCATAATGGCTTAACCTTTAAGCCTAACAGTGTGTTAAGTATGTTTTTTATTTATTTATTTATTTATTAACTACTACAGCTGAGACTGAAAGTTTTGAAATTTTACCATTTCTTTGTTCTGCCCTTTTAGGGCTCAGCTTTCAATGACTTACAAAAAGAAATTATTCAAATTTTAATTACTATGCCCATAACTTCTACTGTAGTAGTCTCGTTTCTCCTTTCAACTTAAGTCAAAATATAGTGCAGTCATTTCTACGAAAAGAAAAAAAAGGAACTTCACTGTTTGTTTTTTTTTTAAATCCCATGCTATAAATCTTAACACTGTTGAAAATAGATATATACATCTGGAATATAAGATCTCTGGGGCTTGAAAAGAGACATGGCATTTGCCAATAGGGATATTCTGGCAAAGTTGTGCATCTTTTTCTGTCTCTAAAAATTCACCCACAAACTGTGGTCACATTGGAATGTAAACAAAACTCAGAAAGCGCATGGTACATCCATACAAAGGCAGGATGGTTAGAAGTTAGCTGCAAATTGCCTTGAAATTTCCAGCTTACTGAGAAAAGTGCACATACTGGCCTGTGCTGCTTCTTAAGAAAAGGAAGCTATTTTGATTGCAATACAGAGGAAAGATAAGAGAGCATTTTTGTGCCAGATGATGTTCAAAAATGTCTGTCTCTATGAATCACAGAATCATTAAGGTTGGAAGAACCTCCAAGACCATCTGATCCAACTATCACCCTACCACCAATGTCACCCACTAAACCCTGTCCCTCAGTGCCACGTCCAACCTCTCCTTGAACACCCCCCAGGGACGGTAACACCACCACTTCCCTGGGCAACCCATCCCAATGCCTGACTGCTCTTTCTGAGAAGAAATGTCTCCTCATTTCCAACCCAAAATGAATATCTGTGTGGTCTGACTGTGGTTAAAATTTATTATTTTCAGCTTTTACACTTCTTGCATACACTTTGATGAGGAATTATATTGTTGTTTAAGTGTTCCTTCTCTATTTAGGACCTCAAGTATTTGCTCTCTGGCATTCCAAAAACATTAGTTTTTGACTGGGATGCCAGGTAAAGTTAATAGTGTAGAATAGATACAGGAAATAAAGATAAATGGTAAGGTAAAGGCACCCAAACATCACCTTTCCCACCAAAAACTGTTTTGGTTCTGAAACTTCAAAAACAATTACTTTCTTTAATCACTTAAAACCTTGATCTTTAAAACTAAAAAGGACTCCATAACTCAAACTACAACAAATTGCAAGAGATATTGCTTTAATTTTCACTGTATTATTCTGAAACTACTTGAACGCTAGAATTTAAGCAAAATTAGAGGAATTAGAGCAATTTTAGGAAAGAACCTTTGACTTAAGTAAAAGCAAGAAGGTTATATCATGACCACTAACATGCTTAATTTAGTCAGTAGTGAAATGGCAGATTCTGGTTTAAGCCATGCTGGAAGTTCTACTCAATGTGCTAAGAATTTCCAGATGTGCTGAACCACAGGGTCACTGTAACATGGAGGTCAGTTCTTATGGGAAAGGACAGCATGCAATAGCTGGCTGATCAACAAAGTCAGACTCAGTGCAGTGATTTCTGTTTATCTGATAGTTGGTTTGTTTTCAAAGAAACTTAACAGAAAAAAAAAATAAATCTCTTCCTCTAAGTAATTCAGAAAGCCTGGCCTTCAGAGAAATGATTCAACAGAATAAGGTGGCCTATTTTAGGATTATTTAATCATAACAATGTGAGAAATAGTTTGAAGGCATAGTATATTTCTTCAGCATACAAAGAACCTGAATATACTTACCCGTCCTCGTTCTGTGAGAGTTGTTAACATAATAATCAGCGACAGCTTGTGATCCCAGACCACTTGCCAGAAGTGTGCACATGTGTGAGGAAGAGGTCCTTGTGTAGCAATGTACCTGTTCACAATGCCCACAGAAGGAATTTCCATCTGTAAGGAGAAAAATGCCTTATGTAAAATTGTTCTCACTACTCAATTAGTGCCTTTTTTTTTTTTTTTTTAATATTCAGAGTTTCATTCAAACAGAGCATGTTGTTATGAAAGATTAAGAATATGAGATGAGCAAGAAGACCATCAAGATCACAATTTATTATGTGATAATCTTCAAAAATTTAATTTAAACAAATTTTATACTATAAATACTACATCCCTTCAGCTGAAATAGGAAGAGCTAATTAATACTGAAAATGTATTTCAAAACTTGAAACTGCAAAGCTTTCAATGTTTTCTTTAATATTTAGTAATGAATATCTTGTAAGGCAAAGTATACCAAAGGTGCACTAGCAAAAGCAATGTAATAGTTAATGTGCAGTAAGTTAATAGTTTGTTCTTTCCCAAATGTATCTGATACACATTCTCTCCCCCCTCTTTTCCTTGTCTCCCATCTTAAACATGTGATTTAGGCAACTAGAGTTCTGGTTTCTCTTCTAGACCCTTTATAGTATAGCTGATAGGCTCTAAGTGGTTCTACAGGAAAAAAGCTTAGTTTTAAGTTATAGGAGACAGCCTCAGAATTTACAAAATAGAGAAAAATTATTTACAGAAAGAGCTGAATCAAAATTACAGATTTCACCTACATTTTGAAAAAGATTGGTCCTAATACCTAAATTAGCTAACAAGCTAATTTGGAAAGGTTTATTTTAAAATATATAGTCAAAGGCTATCAGAAAAACAACAGGTTGGAAAATGTGATTGACAGACAAGAACAGTTCACACACTTCCAAGCTTTCTGAGGTATTTATTGAGAAATTAAAGTTGACAAAATACCTAATTTAAGCAATGCTAAACTATTTTTAATCTCCAAGACATTGATCAGACAGGAAAACACTTTCAGTAACTAACAAAAAGCTACAAAAGTTGACCGTTATGTTTCATCAATTTAATGAATCATTATTCACAGCCACAAGACAAAAATCTGAAGACCATTTTCATTAAAAATATTACTAAAAAATAAAGCTTAGTCTGGAATGTTGCCCATTTTCTCAGGTCTACATAAGGAGCTAGATATTAAATCCACAAAATTAGTGTCATGCAGTAATTATGGTGGATTGCATGTGCTTTTATCTGTTGTGTATCAGAGTGACCACCTGCTTCACAAGAGAAATCTCCTCTTTTACATTATGTATCTACACATCTTTTACATTTATGAATCCCCAAAATGTAAAATGAATAACCCTTATTCCTTAAAAAAGGCTAAATTTAGTCTGCTATTGTAATATAGAAGATGAACAAATGCAGGTCTCTGTATGACTTACATTCACATAATTCGCATTAATGTAATCTTCATCTCCCTGCAGTATTATCCTGGTGGCATCATCTGCACACAAAAAAATAAAATAAAGAAGGAATTAAATTAGAAATTATGGGTCATGCTTCCTTTTTATTAAGTCAAAAAAATGAGGAATTGCAGACATAAACAGCAGGTTACAAAACAAAATAGATCTTTTAGAAAATAAAGTGAACATTTATAAAACTTGGATAATATAATTAAATCTTTACAAAGAAATTAAATACGACAGTCTTATAAACTATCATTTAGAGTATAAAAATATGCAAAAAGTCTGTACTTCATACTCACAAGGTAGAACATCTTTGTATCGATTCTTGTCCATATTCTGAGGTACCTTTGCACACGTAACAGCCAACCCGGGTTTCTTTCTATAAAGTTGCTGCAAGGCAGAATTTAAAAATAGGTGAGTTTTTGAGGGATAGAATTGTGCAAAATTCCTGAGTTTTATTTATATACGCGTATCTTTTTATGTGAAAGTAATTTCTATTATTCCTAGTCCATCATCATCTCTATAAGAATTTCTAGGAAAAGAGAAAATATGCAAATCATTGATATACATAGACCGCTTCCTTGCAAAGTCTTCTTTGTCTTACAAGATGTACCACACAATTGTGGGAGGACTAGAAGTAAAACTGAGAATGAGTGCGGAAGAACTGAGCAATAAAAAACATCAGAAGAAAAAAATACAGACCGATATTTATTGGAATCAACTGTAATACAAAAATTCAATCATTTTCTGCATAAAAACTACCACATTCAACCCTGCAAATATTTGAAAAAGCAAATCTTTAGTGTATCACAGTCTCTTAATGCATGACTTCCTTTCTTTTGGGTCATGCTCTACCTTGCAAATTTTATCTGAAGTGAATGCGCGAAAATATACATTATACCAAAAATAAATTTTAAGATCAAAATGCATTGAGAGCATGGTTTAAGGCAATGAAGGGTACGGGAGGAAAAACACAACAACAAATCAAGAAATGCAATTATACAATTACAATTTTGCTGTATTAAATATACATGAAAGCAACTTACAAATGAGTAACCCAGCTGTGCCAAAGATGTAATTGCATCTTTCATGTTTAAAGATTTCAAATATGGTTTCACACATAAAATTAAGTGAAACCAATAGGATGCTAAAATCCCCTACTTTAAGACAAAGGGAATAACATAAAAAATATATTCTATTGAAAGACTTGCTGAATGCTGGGTCTCAGGATCATGGCTCATCATATTTTTCAACTGCACAGCATGAGCAAGGAAGAAGGCTATGCAGGAATCAAACAGCTTCAATTAGTTATAGTTTACGTTCCATTTTACCTGAGTCAAGTTAAGATTTCTACATTTTGTGGAAGACAATGAAGAATAATTTAATGTTAAGTAACAGTTCTGGAGTTTTGTTGCTGTTGCCTAACAAAAAGGTCATATATCACTGACAGATTTGTTAAATTCTGCTTAACTGGACATAAATTATAATTATAGGAATATGTTCTGGAAAAACCTTATATGTGATAATGTACTAAATAATTATTCTCTGTTTTACTAACATAGAATCATAGAATCATAGAATATCCTGAGTTGGAAGGGACCCTTAAGGATCATCAAGTCCAACTCTTGACACCGCACAGGTCTACCCAAGTTCAGACCATGTGACTAAGTGCACAGTCCAATCTCTTCTTAAATTCAGTCAGGCTCGGTGCAGTGACCACTTCCCTGGGGAGCCTGTTCCAGTGTGCAACCACTCTCTCTGTGAAGAACCCCTTCCTGATGTCCAGCCTAAACTTCCCCTGCCTCAGCTTAACTCCATTCCCGCGGGTCCTGTCGCTGGTGTTAATGGAGAAAAGGTCTCCTGCCTCTCGACACCCCCTTACGAGGAAGTTGTAGACTGCGATGAGGTCTCCCCTCAGCCTCCTCTTCTCCAGGCTGAACAGGCCCAGTGCCCTCAGCCGTTCCTCGTACGTCTTCCCCTCCAGGCCTTTCACCATCTTCGTAGCCCTCCTCTGGACACTCTCCAACAGTTTCATGTCCTTTTTATACTGTGGTGCCCAGAACTGCACACAGTACTCGAGGTGAGGCCGCACCAGCGCAGAGTAGAGCGGGACAATCACCTCTCTCGACCTACTAGCGATGCCGTGCTTGATGCACCCCAGGACACGGTTGGCCCTCCTGGCTGCCAGGGCACACTGCCGGCTCATATTCAACTTGCTGTCTACCACGACCCCCAGATCCCTCTCTTCTAGGCCGCTCTCCAGCGTCTCATCGCCCAGTCTGTACGTGCAGCCAGGGTTTCCCCGTCCCAGGTGCAGGACCCGGCACTTGCTCTTATTGAACTTCATGCGGGTGGCGATCGCCCAGCTCTCCAACCTATCCAGATCCCTCTGCAAGGCCTTTCCACCCTCATTCGAGTCCACAACTCCTCCAAGTTTGGTGTCATCAGCAAACTTGCTCAAAATGCCTTCTATTCCTACATCCAGATCGTTTATAAAAACATGAATGGAGATTGTGAGAATTACCAAAGCTGATGAGAGATGTTGCAATTGTCTCTGCTTCTGAAGGCCACTAAACAATGAATTGAAAGAAAAAGAGATTGCTAAGCTATCGCTAAAGTAAGTTTATTACATTACAAAAGGGTTCTGCACTTTTTTGTAACATCAAGAATATCCTTTTAGAAATGCTATCAGGAAAAAAAAAAAGTTGTCATAAAGAATGAAACATTCTATGAAGATTATTAAAGAAACATTGTCAAAGTTGTTGACTAAATTTATGTACAATAAGCACATTTAAAGGCTGGGTGATATCTTTTGAGTTGCTGTTTCAGTAGCTAACAAACTTGTTACTACAACATTGCAACTACTGCTGTGGATTTTGGTAAGCCGATATAAACTATGGAGTCCAGAATTTATTTTTTTTAAAAAAGGGTGGGATCTTAACTCTCGGAAATTTTGGAAGCAAAGCAGTCCTCATAAAAGGAGTGGTTATATAATAAATAACACCACAACTCTTCAGCAATCACCATTAAATCTCATGGCATTTGTAACAACAAAGGAAAAACATAAAAAATGAGGAAAGAAGGCACTGCTGTTCTACAAGTTTCCGGAGTCAGAAAGGATTATGCCAGACTTCAACTATGTGAAATTAATAGATAACAACAAGCAGGGTTTCTCCGAAGTTACAATAAATGTTTGGATCTCCAATAGCTAAATGAACACAAACACACGCACATTATAATTTATTTCCATTAGAGAAGGAACTGAATTATCTTTTCTCATTTCTTTTGCTAACACTGAAGAACTATTTTAATAAACTACATTTTGTTAGTCAGTTTTCTAGGATATTCTCTGCTGACATGTTGTAGAACAGAACAAACACTAATGAATTAATCTATACAGCACTTCAGCCAAGTCTTATCCCACATACCGGGGAACCTCACCCACAGAGTAACTTGCCCATGAAGTAACCATCAATGTTTTGGATTGCTACGAAAAAATATCACAGACTGCACATTACAAACCTCAAATATAACTTAACATCACAAACTTTCATATCAGCCTCTAAGAGAAGAAGAACAGGAGCAGTCAAGTTGCTGCTGTTACTCCATGAAAGGCAGTGAAATATGAGAATGTGAAAAATCAAGTTAGGGTATAAAAGGTTTCAGAAACTTCACTGAGAAGCATGAGAAAAGAAACAAAGTACAAGACTATCCTCTGTCAACTCTGCTATTGTACTCAATAAAAAAAAGAAACAACATTTAGGGAGCTTTGGGTACTTGAGCTAGAAACTTGTTAATTAAAACATTTTTCTCAGCAGGCAATGTTTTATACAACTCTGATAACTCATTCTCCTCTTTCTCTTGCAGGGGAGGATGAAACTGATGGGCAACTCATATTTATGTTCTCTTGAAATAAGACCGAAAGGGAGCAATAAGTTTTGTAATTAATTAAGCCCTGACTTTACTTGATGGTCACAGCTACTGGTCTGTATTAATAGCATTTGAAAGTTGAGCATTACCTACCTCAAACTGAATAAGTACTGTCCCACTTTCCAGTCCTTTCCTTAGCTGTTCCATAGACTCCTCCAGAGTATCAGCATATTCAGAAGAGATAGGAAGAAAAGAATCTGGGAGATTTTGGGAATCAACTTCATCTTCTGATTTAGGCTCCACAAACTGTTTAACTACTGAAAGATGCATTGAAAATTAAGATCTGTTACATACGGTACTAATGTGCTTGCAACACATACTAAGATTTACTAGCTTGCGAGAACAAGATTTGCAAATTTAAGGTCTCAAGAAAACAAGTAACAGCAACAGACTTTCATTTCTTTATATACCATATTACTGAAGAAAAGGGAAAGAGTAAAAGGTCCTCATGGTTTTCAGGAAAAAGAAACTCCTTAAGGAGCTAACTATGATGGCAAACCACTACTTCCAAACGCAAAGATTTTTTTTTTGCTGCCATCTAGTCTTGCAGATGGAACTTTTGGACACACTTACAGCCCACAACATTAACCATTGTGAAAACTAAATGGGTTTTGCCTAAAATAATTTAGAAATTAATTAATGGAATATCTCAAAAAGCTTGGACCTCCCGCAGTAAAATCAACACAAGCATACACTGTACTTCTTTTAGAGGAGCACCTGAATTCTGTTTTCTAATCTCTTATACTAACACTGAGGGATCTGATTTAATAAATTGCCAGTTTTCTATGATACCCCTTGCTAACATATTGAAGAACGTGAAAAATGTTAATGAAAAGCTACACACCAGTTCTGTTGCTCTGTGGAAGCTATTGTATCACTGAATGTGTCCATCTGTGGTTATTCTCTGCAATGCTCAGAATGGCCCATACGTGCAAAACTACAGAAAATAGGGAGATGTTTGGACTCATGCCCATACAAATGACTGGCATGGAGTCATAGGTTATCTTTAGCTAAGAAGAGACTTATCTGCAGGTAGGAAGGGGACTAGAAAAAATGTTAAGGAAAGACTAAATACTGCACAGAGTCACTGGAGAGGCCTGCAATAACAGGAGCAGGACTATGTTCAGGGAGAACAAAACACAGAGACATCTGTCTTCCCAGGAACATACAAAATTTAAAATAAAGTAAATGCTACAGAGGCGTATAACATTTATGCGGTTTTATTGCCTCCTGTTTCCCAGCAAAGCATAATCCCTTCAGATTTTTAAGTCATAATGTAATCAGAAACTCTTTGCAAACCTTTGTGTTAAGGACTCATCATAGCTCCTAAAGAAAGTAAATAATAAACCAGAAGTTTCACTTCATCTGAAAGCTCCTGGGATCTGCATGTGTTTAAATAGGAGCAAGCAAAATGGAACAAGATTGGTCCTCTGTATTTTACATATAAAGGCCTATGACCCTACATATTTCAGACTGTCTTGTTTGCCAGCAGCAATTTAGTGAGTAGACTGCATGGGTCAAGCTCATTATCATCATAAAACATCTACTGTAGGAATTTAAAAAAAGCTCATTTGACTTGTTTTGCAGCATAATCGTGCTGGGCAACAGCAGCTCATGGGTATTTGCAAACACGCAATTAAAAATTTGTAAAATTATGCTATATTTACAAAAAGAACTTTTGAAAGGAATCATTTGCTGCTTTGTAGATTTTTAGAGCTAAAAACATAAGAAGAAATTCTAACTTGACAGAATCTTTGTTGCACTGGAAAGAGTCTCCAGTTAAAACTATTTATGATACTAATTTAAATGCAGGGAGAACTTTCTAGCACGGACATATTCCAAGTGAACTGAGAACACATGTACTTAAATAGAAGGTATTCCACCAAGCATAAGAACACCAGTCTCAAATACATTAAAAGTGAATAAAATAAGGCCAGTTACCTTTCCGCCTGACCAAAAGTGCAAGCTCTCTCGTGTGAGATTCTCTGCTGGCTTTTATGAACATGACCACCTGGTCATGCGTGTGCTCTGAGATATCTCGTCCATTAATTAATACTATTTGATCACCTTCATTCAGTTTTGGAATGCATTTATCAGCCTGTTTCAAGACCAAAGAAACATATTAATGTCACTGCATCCAGTCATGTAAAGAGGAACAAATCAGTATATGAAGTTCATCATGCAAGCAAATTCTTCCGAGTCCTCTTGACAAAATTTCATCTTCTGTTACAGAAATTCTATCAAAGAAATAAGATCTAAAGCTTTTTGTTGCTTCAAAGCCTCTCAATGAAGATGAGAAACAGTTCAAATGGCATACTAATAGCTAAAAAAAGAATTTGTATTCATCAGATAGCCATTAGCAAATTGCTCTTAAAGATATAAATTTCAAACACTAAACGTCAGCAAATGAATTTCTGGAAAAAGCATTCTAAGCATACAAAATGACAGACTTATTAAGTAAACATCCTTCACTTTTTATGCAGAGAATACCGAAAAGCCCAAATATGACTGAGGTTATTAAACCAAGGATAATTTAAGTAACATGACGTTCCCTGGACATGCATTTCTTTTTACAGTTTTAAGAAGTGTATACATATTTTGTATTTTTGATATTTATCAGATTTTTAATTGGTAGATAACAAATGATATCCCCATTTCATTCACTTAGAGTGTTAATAAATTGATGTAGTTGAGTATTTGATTTACGATGCTCAAGTACTATACAATTACAACACATTTCAGAGCTACCTGCCTGTGCTGCACAGAACATTAGGACATGGTTCTCCCCATTACAACTGAAAACTTGCATTATAGCTTGCCTTGGATACAGCAATTTAGTTTATCTTCTGTACTCTAGCATTTGTTTGGCTTATTTTTCTGCCACACTTGCTAGCACACTTAGCTTTGCATCCAGCACAAAGTAATTCAAGCCATGGCCAGAATGATATTGGCTTGAGTGATGAATTAACGTGAAGGCTGCACCCAGAGAGTCTTGGTCAATAGCTCTATATCAGGGTAGAGGCTGGTGACAAGTGGTGTCCCTCAGGGGTCTGTCCTGGGACTGGTACTGTTTAAGATATTTATCAATGACATAGACAGTGGGATCGAGTGCACCCTCAGCAAGTTTGCAGATGATGCCAAGCTGAGTGGTGTGGCTGATACAACAGAAGGAAGGGACACCATCTAGTGGGGCCTGGAAAACCTTGAGAAGTGGGCCCATGTGAACCTAATGAGGTTCAACAAGGCCAAGTGCAAGGTGCTGCACCTGGGCCAGGGTAATCCCAGGAATGAGTTAGTACAGTCAGAGTACAGACTAGGAGAAGAACTCTTTGAAAGCAGCCCTGGACTTGGGGGTTCTGGTGGACAAAAAGCTCGACATAAGCCAGCTCAGAAGGCCAACTGTGTCCTGGGTTGCATCAACAGAGGAGCAGCCAGCAGGGCGAGGGAGGTGATTGTGCCCCTCTGCTGTGCCCTTGTGAGGCCCCACCTGGAGGGCTGTGTCCAGGTCTGGGGCCCCCAGCACAAGAATGGTTTGGGGCTGTTAGAGTGGGTCCAGAAGAGGGCAACGAAGTTGATCAGAGGGCTGGAGAACCTCTCCTGTGAAGGAAGTGTGAGAGAGCTGGAGATGTTCAGCCTGGTGAAGAGAAGGCTCCAGGGTGACCTTATTGCAACTTTTCAACACTTAAAGGGGGCTTATATAAAAAGGTGGTGAGCAACTTTTTGCTTGGGCAGACAGACAATAACAGGACAAGGGGGAATGGTTTTAAACGAAAAAGAGGGGAGATTTAGATTAGAGGTTAGGAGAAAATTCTTCAGTCAGAGGCTTATGAGACACTGGAACAGGCTGCTGAGAGAAACCATGGATGCTCCATCCCTGGAGGTAAGACTAGACTGGATGAGGCCCTGGGCAACCTGATCTAGGGGTGGCATCCCAGCCCGTGCAGGTGGGATGGAACTAGGTGATCTTTAAGGTCCCTTCCAACCCAAACTGTTCTATGATGCTATGATATACAAAACTGATTAAAGGATCAGAGCATGAGGAAAGGCTGGGAGAGCTGGGATTGTTTAGTCTAGAGAAGAGAAGGCTCAGTGGGGAATCTTATATATGCATATTAATACCTAAAGAGAGGGTGCAGAGTGGAAGGAGCCAGGCCCTTCTCAGTGGTGCCCAGAGCCAGGATGAGAGGCAATGGGCACGAACTAAAACACAGAAGTTTCTATTTGAACATCAGGAAACACTTTTTTTTTTTTTGCCTCCCTCCTGTGAGGGTGACTGAGCACTGGAGCAGGCTGCTCAGAGCCTGCAGTGTCTCCCACCTTGGAGATATTCAAGACAAACTTTGACAAGAGCATCAACTTACGTAACAATTCAATTTTCATTGCTATCTCAATTTTCAGTTTGTCTAGAAAGTACCCAGCTATACAAGAATCATATACTTAAATACTCCATTTTAAATCTTTTATAAATGAGACCTAAGTCCATTTCAGTCTCTTCTTCTGTATTCAAGTTGTTCCCTCTATTGGCTTCATGCTAACACAGAAAAAAACAGAAGATGACAGAAAGGAGAGGTGATAATGATAGAACCAACAGGAAGAAAAATGCAGAGCTAGAAAAAAAAAGTGATAAAAATAAATTGGGAACCGTTTGTGTCAGAAAATAAAGTAAAATTAAAGAAAATTTAAAATGTGTGTAAGTGCTAGAAAACAGATAAGGGAGAAGAGAAGGAAGATAGAGAAAACAAAGATGTATGCAAAAGAAAAGAATCCAAATAGAAAAGCTGATTAAAAAATCTATTTAAAAAATTAAGATTGCTTTCCCCCACTTTTTCTAAAGAAAAAAGGATATGGAAGATTGTCAATGATGAACGAAAGACATGAAAAGAGAGGAACAATTATAATCAGCAACGGTGTCCTTCAACACTGATTTAACCAGGTATTCACAGTTCCCAAGAAGAGTCCCTGCCATATTTTGTATAATTTATGAAGGCAAGACTGAAGAATGCGACTATGAACAATTGATTTAATCTCTCTAAAATGCTGTTAGTAATATTTGAGAAGATAAATGATATAAAGATCATATCAGTCATACAGACCATATCTGGTCAGTCTAGGAGCGTCAAGAAGTCAACAAAAATACAGAAGGAATGGTTTCTGAGTTCCTACATTTGTCAATAATTTAGAATTCTTGGCTGGTTGCTGGCTATTATTCTTTATTACAGGAGAAGATGAATATCTATGCTCAAAGAAGCTATATTAATCATGTGACATGTTAATGCCTCAGCTCTCTTGCTTGAATCATCTGACTGTATAAAATATATCTCAAAGGGGAATTAATTCTTTCAATGTAAGCATAATTTGTAGATTTTTCAGATACAGAGCTTTTTCAGACAATTAATTATGTCAAAGGCTTCCTGTCCTATTGACACACCCAATGTTTCATTTTATGCTAATCACTTTGTTATTGCCCCAAGAAGCATGCATACTATTTTTCAGTCAGAAGTTTTATTAAATACAACCATAACTACTTCTTTATCACCTTTGGACATTAATACTGTTTGTGGGAGGGAAGAAAAGAAAAAACAGTACAGAAATTTTGTTAAAAAAAAAAAAATACCAGTTGCAAGTTGTTGTTGTTCTTTAGATTTATGCTCTCTTGCAACTCATTTTGCTATTCTGTCCTCAAATTTTTCCAGCACTCTAGATTACTGCTGTAGTAGAAGGGAATTTAAAAAACAAACCCACACAACTTTAGGATGCCAAAGGGAAAATACTGCCTTATTTTGTGAGTACAGTTTCTTCTCTTCCACAAAAAAAAAAAAAAGACAAATCTTTTTGAAGGAAAATTGAAAAAAAAAAAAAAAGTAACCTACAAACCTCATTAATATTCTTGGCAAATATAATAATATTAAGTAGTGTCCCTGAGCACAATTTGCTTGGTAATGTGTGAATCCAGAACAAGCTGAAACAGCAGCAAATATAATAAAGGAATGACATCTCTGATGTTCTATGAAGCTAAAGTAAACCAAAAATGCATTCCATATAACTACGTAAACTCTCAAATCTCAATTACATTTTATTAAATAGTCAAGAGAAGGTGAAATATAGTTTATGTAAAACTATATAATCAACATTACTACTGTTATGCTCTCTATTTTTTCCTCTTCATGTAATATGGTGTGATTTATATAACACTGCTGTTGAATATTGAATACTGCGTTGTGTAAGTTTCCAGTTTATCCCTTGACCCTTGATAACTTGCTCACTTGTTGCTTTATTAGTCTAGAAAGCTAATTGTTCACTTCTATCTATGCCTACAGTTACTAATTGGAGATGCTTAAATGAAGCCTTTAAGTTAGAATTACAGTCCTTTTCCAATCAACAAAAAGAAAAACAGATCAATACTTCCATACTTCCCAGAAGACAATCTGATCCGCCAAAGGATAACCACTGCCTCTGGAGAAGCATCTTTCCTTCACTAATTGTGAAATGAGCCTGCTTGTCTTATATTCACTTCAATATCTCAAATAACCCTTACGAAGTTCGCTAGGTTGAACACAAACCCTTAAGGTCTGTTTCATTTTCCCTTTATGGATTCAAGTTATAATGATAATTTCCTATTACTTTTTTATTCAAATATTGTAGCTCATAACAGAGTGCTGTGTACTGCGTTAAGTCAAGCCACAAATCTTAAATGCTTCAGCATACAAGTTCTCAAACAATTTCTTTTAGCTAGATTTACATCATGACATTCAGATATCAGCCCTGTGTCTGCTTATCACATTTCAAGAGTCTCTAATATGTAGAGCACAACAGACTTGTAAGTTTAAGTCAGAACTATCTCCTATCAAGTTAACACTGAGATTGTTTTATGAGAGTTGGGAAATATACTTTGGAAGAAGGTGAGTGAAATAAAAATATAAGATGCATATCCTCACAAACTTAAGAACCACTTATTTTGAAAAATGTTAAAAGTGTTATATCACTATCATTATTTCATATTTCAGCGTAAGAACTCAATGGCTGTACTGATTTTGATGAATGTACACGTAGTCCAGAAACATTGCCATAAACAAATATCCATGGCAAAACAAAATGAGTGCAAACACAAAATCACTAAGGTTGGAAAAGACCTCCAAGATCATCTGGTCCAACCATCACCCTACCACCAACATCACCCACTAAACCATGTCCCTAAACACCATGTCCAACCTTTCCTTCAACACCTCCAGGGACGGTGACTCCACCACCTCTCTAGGCAACTCATTCCAATGTCTGAACATACTCTGCTCCCCACTCCTGAACCCCTGCTCTGCCCTCAGTATTCCCCCATCCTATTAGCGTTTTTAGCATTAAGGATTTCTTCAGTTACTGAATAGTCAGACCACAGCAAGCTGCCAACAGGTTGTTCCCTCAAGCATTTATCCTCTCTTAACCACCCTACAAAATTATTTTAATCACAGCATCCTTTGTCAAGGAGTTTCATAGGTGTCTCGTGCCCAAAGAACAACTACTATTCATTCATTTTGAACTTGACTTTCACAAACTTGATTTGATACTCCATACTTCTTTTAATGGAATCCCCTGCTACCTGTTGCACATTGCTCCAAAAAACCTTGCAGATCTTTGCCATATCTCTCTGAAATCATTTCTTTTTTTCTTGGCTGCTGAGGCCCAGACTACTCACTTCTGTTCTGCATCTTCAACCGTCCTTTTTGCCCCTCTTCAAATATTTTCCATTTTCCAGAGCCATTTTAAGATGCATTTTTTGAGATGATAGGGGAAACAAACATGCTTTCAGCAATTCCCAATCTTTTCATCCACAGCTCAAGAAAACACCGGTCAAATCAATTTCTAAAAAAACCCCAGCTCATCTATTTCATACTGGTTGTGTATTTCCAAATTCCTATGAGTAAACACTAGACATTGGTGGAAGAAGTAATAAATGAGAGATTAAAAATTGTAAGAATTTACTTACAGGTGATCCTGGAGTTATTCTTGATACCAGTAATGGCATTTTTTGATCTACACCACCCTAGAGGTCAAGTAAATAATGACATAAATAATATCATTATAATACATACATTATAAACATAAGCATTTTAAACAAGCAATTGCCTATTTTAATTTTATTTTTATAAAGTTAGTGTTCTATCACTGTACATGTAAGTCAGTTAGGTTGAATTTTGATGAGTGAATGTCAGGAGACGTGTGTGTTTTTTCCAGTTAACTAAAACCAGTGTCTTTGCCTGCCCGTACATTTTAACAGGCAATAAACAGATGAAATGCACCATTACTCAAATCCTACTCTTCGACCTAGCCTAATTCAACATTTGTACTCACTAGGTGGACAGTATCCTTAAATATTGTGATGAACTTGCAAGAGGTCAGGTAGCAAAGTTCCAGACAGCTATCTTCCCTTATTCCCTTTACATGAAGCTCTACCACTGCTTCACCAATAAAATGCCTCAAGCAAAATGATCAAATTCGACCCTGATTTTGATATTACGGCTAGTTTACACTACTCTATCTTTTTAAATAGAATTTCAGTGAGGGGATGACAAAAATTTACACAGAAATCAATACTTATTTCAATTTTCTTCCTTAATTAATTTTCATCTCTCCAATGTGATTTTTTATGGGTATACTCAATAAGATATCACAAACTAAACTATTTAACTTGTTTTATAATACAGAAGCAAGTTTTTCCAGAAATTAATACCTTCAATTAAATTTTGGAGTCCACATTTATGCAGCAAAATAGGCAGTTTGCTTTTGAAACATGTCATGGCCATTAAAAATGAAATGTATTCACAATGCTAAATCATCTACATAAATCCTGTAAAAATAAGCAAAAGATTGGTGTTTTACCTTTAGATTAAATCCAAACTTCCCATCTTCATCTGGTGTGATTCTCACCAAAAGTAACTCTCCCTCAATTATTTCATTCTGTAATATACAGAAAAATCAACATCAAACTTTTCTAGTTTTTAAAACAAGACAGCAGCAAATAAGAATATAGTGTATTCAAACATAGACATGCTGAACAAGAATACTCTATGTAAATCTGTGTTTTAAAAAGGAAGAAGTTAAGGTTAAAGAATACACTCACAATTGTAACCTTTAATTGTAAAAACAGCAGCATGTATATTGGTGGATATGTTCTTTGCTTTTTCTGCACTAACACTGTTACTGTCATCTTAACTTTTCCAATTGATACCTATTAAATTTTTCAATGTGTTGTCCTTGCTAAAGGTGACTGAAGGAAAAAAAAAAAAAGATAGGTACAACACCCTTGAAGCACTTTTACTCTAAGCATTATGAAGTTACTTCTTTTTCTTCAACTTTTCTCCTCTAAAAGGGTACATGATATCTTTTGCAGGAGATCCACAAGCCAGAATGATTAAAACTTGGCAGCAGCTACTGGACAGGCACGTTAGAAAGTTGTTAAGCACACCTCTGGAAAAGGCTGGAGAAAAGGAAAGGAATGATCTGCAGTCATAAAGCTAGCATGGGGCACCTGGTGAAAGCGTGACTTTTAGCCATCCCAGAGAGGAGATGCCTGATAAAGCAGAGTTGTGTCTGCTATTGAGTCATATAGCCACTTGAGTTATTCAAGGATTCCCATTCCATTAAGAGATTCCCTACAAATGCTGCTAGAAACCTGGACACTATGGGAAAACAACGTAGTTGGCAGGTTTGCCTTTCATATTTTATATAGAGTCTTAGATAAGTTTGAATAAGGCAAGAAGATTTATTCCTATTACCGCATAAAACATGCTCATCCCAGGATATAATCACAATTTATGTGGATTCTAAATCTACAGTTCAAAGCTACATTTAGCACCAGTTTTGACTTTAAAAGAATGCAACTGAACATACCTTATCACAGTAGTACTGACCGGAATCTTCTGTTGAGCTACTTTTTGTAATGTTGTCATACGTTTCTAAGAAGTGTTTATCCACCCCTTCCAATGGGTAAGAGCCAGAAATGTTACCAACTCCATTGGGAGACTGAGCCAAGGTTTTAGGTGAGGTATGGGTCAGAGAATTCCGAGTTGGACTGTTTCCCAATACGTTCCTTCGTTTAAGAAAGATAAATAAATATTAGGAAGGTATTGTTATCCAGATTTTTATGTTAAACAGCATAAAACATGCAAACGTACTGCTCGATTCCAAGAGCAAGCCAATTTCATACTTGGATTTTAACACTTCTTGCCATTCAAAGTAACAGTTATTTGATCTGTGGATGTCCAGAAGAAGGGACAAAACAAAACTGAGTAGCAGAAACATTTTTAGCAAATTATTTGGAGGTTAGCAGTGAAAGGTACTGCTGAAGTGGTACAGGAAATCACAGTAACGTGGAGGAAATGAGAGTTGAGCCCCAGGGGAAAGGCACTCCAGTCCTACCCATGAAAACTGTATCCTGTGATTCCACTCATTTTTACACAGTACTCTTTTTCATTCCACTCACATGAGTGCCAGCTCAACCTTATCTCTCTGCGAGAAGGTGGTTTGCAGAAAAGCCACAGTAAATTGTCAGAGAAATAGGAAATGAAGTGACCTTGACAGGTCTAATAACAGTACTATATTCTGTCTTTAAGGTAATTATAGCCATGAAGAAGGACCCAGAATTAAATGGAAGTGTAGACCTGAATTAATGGGTCAAGAACCTTAAAATTCAACGATGAAAAAAAAAAAAAAAGAAAACAGTAAGTAAATGAATACATCAGATCTTAGAATTGGACAAGCTCCCTGCTAGTGCCCCATGACCTTTCAAATGTTCACTCAGCTACAGTTATTTTTTTCTGAAGGGGAAGAAATGCAGACCTCTAATACAACTAAAATTGTTCTTCAATTAGATCAAACTCACCATACATACTAAAAGATCCATCTTCACAAAAACTACACAATACTTTGTGAAAACTTGTGTGTTGGGAAAGCTCAGTGCAGCTTAGACACAGTGTCCTATCATTAACGTATAGTGCTGTGTATGGCACAAACTGAGGTGTGCCACACTGCAGAACAACCTTGCACTTGCATCATGGATGCTCAGTGGTAGGACAGTTTGCAGCAATACTCTGCACTGCTACTGGGCAACCCAACACTGAAATGAAGTGCATTTGATCCTTGGAAGCACGTGCTGTTAGTTTTTTTACAGGGTATATGTGATTCATTATCTGCTTCACCATACCTAAAAGCAACATCAAATCCTCAAAGAGAGGAAGTATCAGAAGTAAACCCTGGCACTGGAATTTGTGAATTCAAATATCAGTCTCTGCTCTGGTGCAATTCTATTCATATATACGTGAGCTTTTCTGAACCATTCCCAGGGGCCACTGCTAGCTGTCAATGAACTACACTACAGAGGAACGTAATGTAGGCTTTTAACATACAGGACCTGCAAACATTAATAATAATGCAAACACTTATTTCTCAGTTTGTAGAAATCTGACTACAACTTATGTTGAAAGACGTCATTTGGCAAACGTGGCTTTGCCTTAATATTTCTGATGCTCAGTTTTATTACATGTTCTTGGCAATGTGAATTAAGTGGTTTGTACAACATTTGCAGGATTTTCAGTTACCACAGGAAATGTTTTTCAGGAGACATGATTCACTTGGCTCTTTCAATAATCTGAAAATACTTTGGCAAACAATAATGACACTTAAAAAAAAAATAAAAGAATTATGCTATTATGATTATTTTTTTAAATCTGGTAGCTTCCAAGAGGTTTTCATTATTTCTGTGAAGTCATTGTTAAGCAAGCAGGAACACTGTATATGTAAACACATCATAATACATTTTTCAGAACATATGTTATTAAGAAAAAATGCACTTGCAACTTGAGAGCACAGCTCCTGATGATCTTCCAGTGTAGAAAAAATTAACACCACCAGAAGAACATGACAAATTACTTCAGTTAGTGCTTCCTGGCACTACATAAAGTCACGAGATAAGATTACCAGCAGATTTTAGCATCAGTAAACTTTTACAAAAGGTTGTACTGAACAGTTTAAAATTATTATTATTTTGTTAACAGCACTTATGGTCATGTTAGGAAGTAAAACCTCCCACATCCTGATCCAAAATCTTATTTTTTAATAAAAAATCTTTATAATATTCATTGGTTTACACATCCATTTTGATCTTCAAACTATAAAATAAGTACTTGGAAAAAATAATTAGATAGCTAAAAAAATAGTTAGATAGCTTAAAGCTAAGGAATCTATAATAGAAAGTTTAAAGAAAACTCACTTTGGTGATTCTTGTTCCGATGACCTGTTAAAAACGAGTAAATAAACATGAGTTAAATCTTCAGGAAAACAGGAAATAAACTCTAATTAAAAAAATGCCTGTGTGAAAGCCAAAAGGTGTGTTCACAGAAAATTAAAGAATACTTAATCCTGTGCAGAAGGTCTGAATCAGGCAATTATGGCATTTATGAACCACTCAACAAAAAAGTCACCAGGCAGTTCTAACTACTCACTTCCACTTCTGGCACAAGCCCAACGACAGCCAATGCATCTGCTACTGAAACGTCAACTACGCTGGAGCTTACAGAGGCAATTATTGAACAGGACATGCTACAGCATTTCAGGAAGTTTTAGCTGTGGATCACACTGCCTGAAGATGTCACTGATTATATTTCTTTACATGTAGGTAAGGAGAAATTAGCATAGGCTGCTTCAGAAGCACCACTTAGCGTAAGAGCAGACCAGATGCTGACAGGGAATTTTAACACAAAGCATAGCTAAAGTAGAAGTGACTACACAGGTGAGGACAATCCAGCACAGAAAAGAAAGGCAGTTAATTACGGTTCTTTTCTGAGCAGCTTGGCTGATTAAAACAGAGTCTTCAAGCATTATCAAGATAACATTCACACACAGCATCTGTTGTGGATAAAGTCTACTCTTTGCTCACATCCAGGAGTGAAAGAATCTAGGTAATTGTAAAACTTGCTGTGCTAGAAAAAACAATTTGCTTAAACTGAGGAGGGGAAAAAAATATGCAAAAAGCAGTACATTGTGATGGATTGGTTATCTAACCCAATATTCTGTTTTCAAAAGTGGCTAACTGATGCTTAGGAAAAGTATTGGAAAATCACGCAAACATTTAGTGATGCTTTCTAAGAAGACTCGCATGGCCACCAACAATTAGCAGTTCTGGGACTTCTGAAGTTGTCATTTATTCAAACATACTTAAATGAAAAACTGAAATGGAGTATAGAGGCTGGAAATAGAAGCAATTAATCATATTAGGGAGCAGTTCTAGCTTTCTTATATTCTGTAAAACATGCAAAAGAGACAAATTAAGGAAAGTTATAGTCCACTCTGCTTAGGCTGACTGTCCAGTTCCTTTCCAATCCAGTTACTCCTCTCCCATTTCTGCTTCCACAAACTTGTCATGAACATCTCAGGAAACAGAAAGACTTTGTTGCTCGGAACAAGCCCTGATACTCAGGTGCATTGCTGGGACAGCAGCCCCTCACCACAATTACCCTTTCAGATTACAGAATCACAGAATTTCTAGGTTGGAAGAGACCTCAAGATCATCGAGTCCAACCTCTGACCTAACACTAACAGTCCCCAAAAGATGCCTCCTTTCCAGAAGAAGGTCACAGCTGGAGGCTAAAACTGTCAAGGTATCAAGGTATTTGCCTTACAGCAAGCTTTATCACATGAAAATTTGTTGGTGAAAGCCACATATGAATATATCACTCCCTGTCACACAAAGCAAAGCAATGACTTGCCTCAAGTTTGTATTTCTTTGCCAGTTTCTCCTGAATTTAGTAACCTAGCTACACAAATTATGGCATTTTTTTGATAAAGTGCTCTGTCAAAACTGTTATCTTACTCAATTCAGTTAACCAACAAACATAAGCACAGCTTTTTACTAAAAGAATGGGACTTAAGTACTGTCTACTGTTTTTCCTTTGAACATTTAATCACAATAATTACTCAGCAGTGAAGACATAAATTAACTGTCAGATTGTAAAATGAGATCATGTTACTGTTTGTCTGTTTTATTAGATATCTTTTTAAGTGTGGCAAATATATTCAAAAACTTAGCAGCTCTACATGGGGAAAAGTATCAAAAGTTATAACATACAGCATTTTCTGAAGCAATTGAAGAGCTTCATCAGAAACCACCTGAAGCAGTGAGTTAAACCATATTATATCAATTAAAATAATAGGTATGATACTATAATACATTTGAAAGTAAAGGTTACCCAAAAAAGTGCTTGCAAATTAAAGTCTGTATGGCAGATAGAACAGAGCTTTACAAATTTAGTAAGTAGCAACCAAAAAGCCTAAGCAATACAACTCCATGCTGGAAAAATACAAACAAGCAGTTCAGCTCGGGTGCAGAGCTGAATTGTCAAATTACAGGAAGCAATTCACAGTACAGTTAGATTTTCCAAATGTTGTTTTCTAAAACAACCCTAATATTAAGAATCACGTACTATGTTTCAGCAAAAACTACAGTAGAAATAAAAGGTTCATTCTAGTTCAGTTTCCTTATGTCTATTCTACAAGATGAACAAATTCTTCCTTGAGAGGCAAAGATGATGAGTGAACCTGATTCAATAAGAAATAAGAATTTGTGTAAGGTTTTTTTTTTTTTTTTTTTAAACACTATTGTTCATCTTTCTTTACTGCAGTCATACCCCACCTTTGGGATCCCACTGACATTCTCCCCCATTCTCCCACAAGTACCTTCAGTTCTTGTTTGCAATCCTCGCAATACTTGTACTCCCTAACTGCCAGCAGTACAAAAGATCCTTTGGCACCATGCACACACACACTGCCTGAGCAGCCAATCTAAGAGGTACAGACAACTGTTGAACTCATAATGGAATTACTCAGTGAGAGAAGATAAGATCAAGTGTTTTTTCTACCTATACACCAGTTTTCACTAAGCTCGTAAAAAACAAAGGTAGCATCTTTGAAAGCTCCATCCCCAAATTAGATGTGACTGCAGTTGTCCAGACTTTCTTAAGTGGGAAGGAACACAGACAGGCAACACGATGACATAAGCCTTATTTCCTTTGGAAGTCATGCTAAAAATAAAGAATCATAGAATTTATTTTAGTTTGAGCTAATTGATTTCCTTCAGAGGGAAAGAACAATGAAGCTGTGTATTTTTCTATGCTGTGCCACAGAAGAGATATGGCTCTATTACCAAATTCTTTGTAGAGTTCAAGCTGTTATGTTAACCCATCTGAAAGCTCCTAAAACAAACAAACAAAAGCCTACATAACATAAAATTCTGATACAATGTCCCTGTTTTAATATAATATCTCCCATCCCTAACACAGGGCAGTCAGGTTATTTGAGACAAAAACACAATTTGCACTTCCATTCATATAGTCACACAGCAGATTCTCAATTATCTTAATAAAATATCTGGAGACTTAAATGTGGAATATAATTCTTTGTAATATTGCTGAAGGTTTATAGGTTGAATTATTGTACTTTAATTCAAACATATCCATCTGAAGGAGTTACTGAATCATTCTGCAACCTTTTAAAATATAAAAAGGTAACCAAAAACTTAAACTAGAAAAAGACCAAATCCAACCCTTACAAGATATATCAGTGCTGTGTATTCATTCATAAAGTTCTTATCAGGACAGCAAGCTATAGCTGCAGAATTTTATCTTTGCAACTCAATGAAATGTTACTTCTGGCAGTGAATTATTCACCAGTGTGACAAAGTACTTTGAACAGGAATACTGAGATCATCTTTTCTGGCTATACTGTACTCCACGTTTTACTAACTTATCTTCCTTATTTCACAACATGCAACAAGCCCCATATTTTAAGTCAATAAAAGAGAACACTCACCAGACCAACCAATCAACCTTTTCATCAAGAAAGAGGGACCTTCCTTGCAAGGAGATTAAACTTTCCATTGGATCAGCTAACATGCAAGCAACACTTGAAAACTACAAGTGATTCCTCTTCCTTACTCCACAATATGTCTAAAAAGATGCTATTTCAATCTTTCACTCACTATGGACTGCTCTGTCAGCGATGATCTTTACAATAGAACACTTTGCTGTGAAAATCCCACTCTCCTTTTGTGTCAAGTCTCAAGGAAAGACCCCTCCTTCCCACAGTTGTGTGCCCTACCAGAGAATTCTGCTATTCTGAGAACTGATGATGATAAGCTAAAGTCAAACCCCAAGAGAAAAGGGACAACTGAAACAATAGAACTGTAGCAAAACTCCCTCTCTACAAACAACTGAAGGAAACATCTGTAGGTTTTGCCCTTGCAGTGTTCTTAAAGTTCTTTAAGCTTCTTTTCTTCCTAACACCTGCAAGGGTGGGGAGACTGAATACGCCAGCACTTCCATTTATCTCTTTTCTGAGAACTCCCCATTTAAACTAGGTTCATTATTCATGAACCAATTAACTGGAAGATATTTACAGCATCATGTTTTGCTGTCTTTTAGAGAAGTTTACCTACAGAATGACTTGCACAGTTAACATTCAGCATTTCTGTGAACAGAAAAACTGTGCAAGGCCACATGGATTCTTTGTGCTGTACATTTGAATGCCATTACTGAGAAAACCTGTGGACTTCACAGTATACATGAGTGTTTCAGTGATTTTCTATAAGCTGCAAACATCCACGTTGATAAGGTGCTTCCATTTCCGATGAAAAGATTCTTTCAGTTCCTCTACTGACCATAAACCATTTAATTTACTTAGTCAATAGAAAAGACTCAGAAAAGTGTTCAAGTGCAATGATGAAGAGGATGCAAATGGTAAGTGATGGCATGACAAGGTTAAGGGAAACGAAATGGAAATGTTCTGAGATCCACTGCCTTGCATTGGAGGGCATCTTCCTTAAGAAAGTTTGAAGTACATGAACGAGGACGACAAACTTGTGAAGTGCAGGGGATTTGTAACAATGAGGAATTAAACATGGTTGTATACGATTAAAGACTGAGGAAAATAGCATTTTAAATTAAGTTCTTTAAAACTATTTGCAATTTTATACCAAGGTAGTAGCTACTGGAACTTAGCTGGATACATCTGAAGGGCACTTTTGTCAATGTCAGCACTTTAAAATTTTGTATACAAGAATGAATATCTTAGTTAAAATAATGATGTGTTCCCATAGCAAGTTTACCAAATCTCACTAAGTGGCTACAGTTTATCAAAACATTAAGCTGAAAGAATTGACCTAATGCAGGCTAAGTGCAGGAAATCTATTTTCAATGCAATAACTTTGCCAGATGATACATCACACTTACACTAGGAGCATAT